CTGTTGCCAGCACAGTAGATTGGGACAGGGTCTTGGAGTGCACATTCCTGTCCTTGGGGTCCAGACTGGTATGGCTAATACTCCCTCTGTCCTGCTCTGTAGGACAGAAACTTTAGTGTGAAATGAAGCTCTGAGCTGGCCATGTGTGGGAACAGGACTTTCAGCCTGTGCCTGAACCAGTGAAAAAATAGGCTGAGGGACAGCGTCAACTCCAGAATGGGAATGTTTGGAGTGAGTGATCCCTCATGACACTGAGTTACAATAGCCTAGGAGAGCCCTGGAGAGAACTGATTGCAGCTAGCTTGGACACCAGTCCTGTGAGTAGTATTAGGGCTTCTTTATCCATCTCAAGCCCAGGTGATTGGGACATAGAAGGGCATATGGCTATTTATGAGCTTTCTCATTCTGTAAGATGGGATGAGAGTAGCCACAGTTGCAGGTGTCTTCCCAGCTTTTCTCTCCCTTGGCTGGTACATCACCCTGTCCCTTTTCATACCTTTTCAGGATGTCTGGTACTTTGTTTCAAGTTGACTGCTCAACCTGGGGCTTGATTACTATCAGAAATGGAAAGCTTCTGGATTAGGCTGCCTCATTGGTATGTCTTCTGGGACCCAGATTGTCCTTCTTGATCTTCTTGTTTCTCTATCACCAGGTTACCCCTCCAAATTTCTCAGTGTCACAAGTGCCCAACATGCCCAGCTGTCCCCAGGCCTATTCTGAACTGCAAACACTGTCTCCCAGTGAGCGGCAGTGTGTGGAGACAGTGGTTAACATGGGCTACTCCTATGAGCGTGTCCTGAGAGCCATGAAGAAGAAGGGAGAGAATATTGAGCAGGTGAGTGGCTGGTCTACAGCAGAGCGGGTGGTGAGCCAAGAACATTTGACCCCTAGAACTGGGATAGTACCTCTTATAGAGGCCCTTGGACTTATAGCATCAGCTTCTCTCCTGTGGATTAGTGGGGACTGACAGGGTACTATATGAGGGAAACCAGCAGTTTCAGCAGCAGCACTTCTTTTTTGGGGTCTGCTCTTGAGACCTAGGCTGAGGAAAAACCTTGGGAGTAGTGAAGCTATTGGACTCTTATCCAGTTATCCCCTTTAAAGGGGCAAAACTGGGTTGTTCTAAATAGGGTACTGGAGCCCTACACCTTTGAAATATTTTGTGACTTGGTCTGTTAATAAGAGGACTCTCCTGCTCAGGCTATGGAGTTGACATTCTAGGAGAGGTGTCAGTTTTGGCAGCATCTCCTTTGGCAAATGGCTGCTCATGTTTAGAAGGGCATGTCTGTTTAGCAAGTAGTCGCTGAGGTGCTGTGTTGGACACAATTCAAGGCACAAATCAAGTTCTGTCCAGAATCTGATGGCTCAGGTGTGTCAAGGAACACACTTCACACTAGCTAGTAAGACTCTTGGGAAACACAGAGGAGCAGCAGTAGGTGCTCAACTCTTTGTTTCTTTCCTTAGATTCTCGACTATCTCTTTGCACATGGACAGCTTTGTGAGAAGGGCTTCGACCCTCTTTTAGTGGAAGAGGCTCTGGAAATGCACCAGTGTTCAGAAGAAAAGGTGGGAACCTTTATGCTTCATGGGAACCTTGAAGGAGGGACAGAATAGTCTGTCCTGGTTTTCTCCCGTGGCTCACAATCCCCTTTCCTTGACTACAGGCAGAAGCAGTGAGGGGCAGAATCTCCCAAGTATCAAGACAGACTGAGGCCAGTGTTTGCCTCAGATGAAGCACTAGGTTGAAGACTATCTAGAATCCCAGGGAAGAGAAGATTGATTTGGGCTAAAAGCCAACTTTTAGACTTGGCCATTGTTAGTCTGACCTCCTCACTCCTTGGAGAGAGCAACTATGGATGGGGGTGGTGAGATCCAGAGAGAAGTCGGCAAAAATGAGTTGGGACTGGGCATGGCTCCTGAAAGACAGTGGGCTATGGCATCAAAAACCTGTCTGCCCTGGCTTCGGCTTATGAAGCAATGGTTAAAGGAGGCAGATGCCTCCCCAACAAGTATTCCTATGTACACACTGAGCTGTTTTGCGTGGCTGGACCTTTTTATTTAATTTGTATTCTCTTCTGTCTCTTAGATGATGGAGTTTCTTCAGTTAATGAGCAAATTTAAGGAAATGGGCTTTGAACTGAAAGACATTAAGGAAGTTTTGCTATTACACAACAATGACCAGGACAATGCTTTGGAAGACCTCATGGCTCGGGCTGGAGCCAGCTGAGACCAGGCCCTGCCCAGGCCCTGCCACGGAACCACCACCCCCCAGAGGCCCTGCAGAGCCCACATGTGGGGAAGAAGGGGCACACTTCTGGATTTTCTTTTGGGGATTAGAAGATCAGGTGTGGAGACTGTGCTTGCCAGTCTCTGTGAGCCTAGGCTCTGAGCTGGGGAGAAAATGGGGGAAGATTTGGGCATGCCCCAGACTTTTCCTGGCTCCTTCCATATTAAATGTATTTGTATTTGAGAAGTGTCCTTCCCACTTTGACCCTCCAGAGAGACTACTTTGGTCTTTCTGGGGGTCTCTACATCCTCAGCAGAAACCTGGTCTAGCTGCCAACAGGAGTGGGGAGAAAAGGGAGGGCTAGACTTAGTGCTGCTTTGGGGTTAGATGCTTCCCCCACTACGTGCACTGGTGGATTGAACTCTAATCCAAGTTGAGTACGAGAAGGTTCTTCCAGGGTTTTGTTCTTTCTCCCTTTTAATGAAGTCTTAGTGTTACACTGGTTCTGTAATGTCTCTGAGGTACAAGGAAAGCACTTTTCCCCATGGGGCCCAGTTTGCCTCTTCTGCCAGGCAGTCACCATGCTTCCCTTTCCAGCCTGTTTCTTTCAGCTTGGTTTGGACCACAGTCCTCTGCTGCCCAAGGTCTTAGAGCCCTGCTCTAGGAAACCTGTTGTCAGTTTGAGTAATCATTGGCCCCTTCCCAGCACACTGAATGGGTTGAGAAAACAGGTCACGACTTGGTGGCCTAGCACTAACCCTCCCCTGTTATCCTTGAACAGCCTCTTCCTCCAGCCCTGCTTTAGGATGACACATGAATAACACCTAGGTTTAGAAATCACTCTCTTTGGTTTCTTTTGTATTATGTTGTACATCATTATAGATCTAAATACAAAGGATATACAGCCTTGATGAATCTAAAATAATTTGCTAACTATTTTGATTCTTCAGAGAGAACTAATAATAAAAGTCTAAAAGGTATCCTGCTGTGTTAACTTCTTTATTGCCAGGAATTGTTTTACTGAGGAGGGTGGGCTGGTGGATGAGTAGTAAGGGGAATTCCTGGGGCTAGAAAAGGACGGAACACATGCTTTCCTGGTAGACTGTGCATTCAGGGAAGTCCCTTAGGAAATAAGTCCTTTTTCCTGTGAGCAACACCAGGCATTTATGTTTTGTGCCACAGGCAGGACTGCATTTTAAGTGCTTCCCTAGCTCTCAATGGTGCTCTTGTATCTGATAGAATTCATCCCTAATGTTTCTTGTCTTTATTATTCCTATTAAGTCTCTGGGGATCTTGGCTGGGAGTTAGTCTCTGGTTTTTAGTGATAATGTGAGGGGCTTCAGAGCCTTAAACTGGAAACAGAATGCCCTCTGGTGGTCCCATCTAGCCCCACCTGAGGCTGACAAAGGATGGCTACTACAATTTGGCTATTTAGCTTTCCTTTAGCTTTTTAAGTCCTCCTCTTATAACCTCAAAGTTATCCTTTACTTGAGATTGTTCATATGGTAGGACTTTTAAGGCCAAGGCTGTGACGTATGAATCTGTTTTATTCAGTGTGGCCTCTAGAAGTGATGGGCACCTGGAGGCTACTTTGTTTTCCTTGTCTTGAGCTTTTTCCTGATAAAAAGATAACGTAGGGAGCAGAACTCAGATGGAAGGGTGTGTGTGTGTCACTATAGCTCACAGCACTCAATGCCAAGATCTTAAATACAGGCTGTTGAATACAAATGGTCAACAAATACGTGAAAAAATGTTCATCTTTAGCAATTAGAGAAATGTGAATTAAAATGAGATTCCATCTCATTTCAGTCAAAATGGCAATTATCAAGAATATAAATAACAATGTTGGCAAGGATGTGGGGAAAAAGGTACAGTCATACATTGCTGGTGGGTCTGCAAATTGGTGCATCTACTACGGAAGGCAATATGGAGATTCCTCAGAAAACTAGGAATGGAACCACCATTTTACCCAGTTATCCCACTCCTCAATATATACCCAAAGGACTTAAAATCAAACTCTGGTATGTATACACAATGGAATATTACTCAGCCACAAAAAAGACTTACTTTTGCCAGAAAATGGATGGATCTGGAGACTATCATGATAAATGATAAGGCAATCCCCCCCAAAATCAAGGGTTGAATGTTCTCTCTGATTTGTAGATGCAAACACAACACGGCAAGCGGGGGCAGGGAGGAGGGAAGAATTTCAGTGGATTAGAAAAAGGGGAATGAAACAAAAGGGGAAGGGATGGGAATCAAAAAGACAGTAGAATGAATCATATAATTTCCCTATGTTCCCTATGTTCATATATAAATACATGACCAGTGAAACTCCATATGATGTACATTTTAAGAATGGAATCCTAATTGGAATACGTTATACTCCGTGTATATATATATATATGTCAAAATAGACTGTACTGTCGTGTATCTTAAAACAACAACAATAAGGCCCTTAAGAGTGGCAAGCGAGTATGTCCTGGAAGATAGTAAGCCTAGGAGATAGACTTGCCCGAGATCCTCTAGCTCTTCAGGTTTCCCGAGAGGAGCAGGAAATCAGCTAGGCAACCAGGAACTGCCATAGAAACAAAAGGGCTAGCATAGGGAGGTGCTGATCACCTTAGCAAAAGGTTGAAATGGGGACAGAAAAGTACCTACCCTCTTCTGCTTCGGAACTGGATTGCTGGAAGGAAGGGTAACTATAAACACAAAGCCTGCCCCACATCTGCTATTAAAGACATCATCAAATCAAGGTTTATTCATTTTACATTTTCAAAAGTAAATCTACATTTCCAAATCAATCTCCAAGGGCCAATGGGGCAGAGCTCACCCTACTGCTGCCCTGCTAGCACCTATGTTTTAGGTTTTTTTGTTTTTTACTTTGAAGACTGAAAGGCACAGAATTCAGCTAATAAACACCCTCCCTGGACTCAGCATATTGTCTCCCTTAGCTTGTGTCCTCTGACCTCCAGGTTACCACTGATTACCCAACTCCCTGATACTCAAACTTAGGAACATCTATAGAGTTTTTAGACCCATGTGTTCCCACAGTTATGGGTCATTAAGGCAAATGCTCTTGGTGCCCCAAAGGAAAGGGAGAAGCATTAAGTTCTTCAGCCCGACTCTGAGGGAACGGAGCCCCATCTAAGGCCATGGGTGGCTGGATGAGGATAGGACAGGTGGGACCAGCGAGTAGCTTCTGGTATGTGCAGGGAGGACGTGGCAGAGGCCTCCACCAGCCCCTGAAAGCCCAACACTGACTCCTATACTACCTCTACTATCTGGTGTAAGATTTTTCTCTAAGACACTACTGTTCTCTCAGGGGCTACAGCTGGCCTGTGGTAGGTGAGGTACAGCTGCAGCTGGCTCCTCAGACTTTGGATGCACTTGGATTTCAGAGCCATGATTTCATCCAGCTGGGTCACAAAATCTTCGAAATCCTGAGAAAGGGAACACAGGACAAGTGGAGGTTTGTTGGTTCTCTGTAAGATCATCTTTTCTAGTCCCTTTCTCTTCAGGAAAACTCAGAACTCAGATCCTCCTCCAGTTGAAACACCTGCAGGACAGCTGCTATGGCACTGGATAGGGCTTACTTCTCTGCCTTTGAGACACTTTATAGGAAGAGAGGTATGTTGTAGAACAAAAGGATATTGAGGTAGAAGTACCTCGTCTGTATATTGTAGGCAGCAGGCTGGTCACTGTTCAGTCACAGGAGTCCCAAGGCCACTAGGGAGGCAGAATGACTAGGGACAGAGGCTGGAAACTTTTAGTCTTGTCAATGGGCAACGTGGCACCATCTCCCACCTGGGGCCAGACCCTCTTAAGCTATCTCAAGAGAAATGGCAAGAGGAGGCACAAGGCCTTGATAGTGGTTAGTGCGTGACAGCAGACCCTTACTCACAAGTACCACATCAAACTGGCCACAGGCCAACTTCCCAACAGCCCATGATTGTTTACCAAGGCTACTTACATTAGAAGACAGTTGGCTTATTAGGGTCTCTTCCCTGAAGCCCAGCTTTGCCATTTCATCCAGTTGTTCTTGGTGTGCTTGGATGACCACCTGCCTGGAAACACCAGAGAGGAAACTGATATTCCTGGCCTCCCATTTTCTCGGGGCAGCTTTCTCACATTGGTCCTTACTTCCAAGTTGGGAACTGACTCCACCTAAAATTGCCAAGGCTTTGACTAGAACCGGCTCCCCACCCCTTCCATCTCCCCTGTTCTTTTCTCTGGACTAGTCAAGGTATTAAGGAGACCAAAAAAATACCAGGAAAGAGATGGGCTTCTTAAGCTGTCCCTGCCTCCCCAGCTATAGTGAAGGAGAGGGCTGGGTGCTGCTTCTCCAAGGAGCTGCCCATTTCCCATGGCTTCCCTGAGAAAGACTCTCAAGGCTATGACCACTGCAGATGGCATACTCGGCATAGAGTCTGCTTTCATTTCTACTTCCTATGCAGGGTCCAAGACCAAAGCAGGAGGCTGGAGATAGAAGCTGAGGGATCTGAAGTGTTTTATTAGTTATTGATAGACCTTTATTTATTTATTTGTTTATATGTGGTGCTGAGAATTGAACCCAGTGCCTCACACATGTGAGGCAAGTGCTCTACCACTGAGCCATAACCCCAGCCCGGGATCTGCCTTTTGTCAGACTCTAATGATGGGTAGAGGACCACAGAGCAGCAAGGTTGTTAAAGCCTCCAGAAATAAACATGGAGAGGCAAGCTCCTCACTGTGCATCTCTGCATGACCTTAGCTTTTTCCATGACAAATTATTACCTGGAGCAGAAGTGGGGATGACAAAGGAGCTCATGTTTTAGGGAGAAAGTCCAACTTACTGTGCTTGTTCCAGGGTGGGCTGATTGAATGTCCCTATGGTCTCAGGAGGGCAGTTAGGGACCAGAAGAGAATCTGGCGATGCTAAGCACCTTGAGATTGGCTTGTGTTTGAGCCACATAATGTCCTCTTTGTAGCAGGGCAACTTGATGGAGTCTGTAGACAAACCAACCTCCTGCCAACTGAGCCCTGTAGGATGTTTACTCTCCTGGGTCCAGGGCTGATCAGCCACATCACTGCTTCCTGTTCGTGTGGTAAGTACAAGTCCAGAATGGGGTACACTAGTATGTATGGTGGAGAAGGGCTTTCCTGGGAAACCCCAGGAACCATCCAGCTCTGTCTCCTCAGCATCAGTATCACACTGCTTGCCACACACATGTTCCTGGGAGAAGAGTGCAGTTTCTCTACTCTGGCAGGCCTCTCCCAGGTTTGCCTCCCTGTTGGGCAGCTTGTCAGGTAGGTGCTGGCGGATAGGTGATGGGGACAGAGCTGGAAGACCACTACCAGGCTTATTGTCAGGGGGAGATGAGGACAGCCACAGGTGCCCAGTTGTTGAAGACACTGGCAAGGCTGCCTCTTGATCATTAGATGATACCGTGTGGCCCACAGCTGGTCCCCCTGTGCTCTCTGCCACTAGACTGTGCACAGCCCCCTGGGCCAGTTGTTTCAAAGGAGAAGGGCTGTCATTATCTGGGGTCTCTAGGAGGGACACAGTGAGGGGAGCCATTAGTCTTGAAGGATATTCATAGCATGTGCCTAATTGCCCTCCAGAATCTTCTCCTTGTACAGGGATACTATTTTTTACTATTCTGGTCATCTGAGTGGGGTTGTCTTTACTGACTTCTCTCAGTGGGGTGACTGTATCTCTTTGGTCTGGGGATCCAGAAACTGTAATGTGGGATGGCGAGAAAGAGAAACCATCTTCCAGGGATGGCGAGCTGTCTTCAGCCTGCCCAGGAACCTTACTGCTGAAGGTATCCTGTCTTAAGTCAAAGGCTGGGCCTTCACCTTTTTTCCCACTGTATACAAAATCTACCCGTGAGCAGAAAGGCTCCTCTGCTGGGTTGTCTCTAGAAGGCCCGATGGAGGTAGAGTTCTCTCTGCTCCAGTCCAAGTGTACCTTACTTGGGCTTTGGCTATGATTGAGTGCTTCTCTTCTATGGCTTACTGGGTCCTTGGAGTACACCCAGCTTTCAGTTAGATCCTTTTCTTCAACATCTGACCTGGAACTAAAAAACAGGCTCTGCTGCCTTTCTGCCACCAGTTTCTCAGGACCTTGATCTCTCTTCTGATGAAGGAAGAATGAGCCTTCACTTTTCTCCAGGGTATTCCTCTGCTTTGTGGTTCTCTGATTGGAGACATGTGAAAAAGAATCTTCACTGAAATCACTGTCATCTAGGTCCTCAGCTTGGGCTCCATCCTGACTCTCAGAGAAAGAATGGGATGGAGGAGGGGTCTCATTCTGGAACTGACACTCTGGGGGCCTGTATTGGCATAAAAACTTTTCCAATGGTTGGTATTTTAACTTCTGTTGAAGGAGAGGTGGCTGCTGGAACTGCTGGTGATAAAAACGCAAATGTTCCTCCCTCTCTTTCTGATGTGGAGGGATGTTTGTCCAAGCTTCAGAGGTAGGCCTGGAGGGCATGCTCATCTTATTGTCCTGACTGCCCTCCTCAAAGAGGTGGCTATTGCTAAAGGAGAGTTCAACGCGTGACACGAGCTGTTTTTGTACTGGCCGCACTGGCTGCACTTTCTTGCATTTGGCAGGCAGCTTTCCAAGCCCTGGGCCTTCTCCTAGGCCTGGTATCCTGCCTCTCCACTCAAGGATGGTCTTGTTGCCAACTTGATTTTTCTCAGAGCACAATGGAATTGACTCTTCTGCCCCCTTTTTGACCAAATGTTCAGACCGCAGGGTTCCTTTGACAGGGCTAGTCTGCATGACCCACTCCTGGGGAGGACTCCCTCTGGAGCCACCCCTTTTACCAGGGACTTTTGGTATAGAAGCAAAAGGGATGTTAGGGGTATGGCTGGCCAAAGGATGGGTCTTCCCCCTTGTAGAACCAGGTGCCACTGTAACTGACTGCTGAAGCCCCAGCTTGACTTTTTTTGGAGAACACTTGTCCCCTGGCAGGGCCACAGGGGAGTTCTGAATTCGTTTTGGAGAGGAGTTTTCAGATGTCTGATTTTGACTGGTAGCTGAAGTGCAACACTTAATGCCTTTCTTTAATTCTTTGACTCTGTGAATAATAACATATTTAATAGTAAATATATGTTCTATAATTCCTTTTCCATATTTTCAAGGAAAACACAAAATAAGAAGAGTATTATAAGGATTGGTAGGTTTTTTGTTTGTTTAAATCTGGGAGAGAATAAGAGGAAATGGGAACATTCTATTTTAGCATGAGATACCCCTCTGAACTTTAATAAAAAAAAGCAACATCTTCTCCGAGAATATAAGCATGCACCCAACATTCCATGATCAGAAGATTTTTGGAAATTGACACAACCCCATATAAGGGACAAGCCAGGGATGCAAGTCTCAGAACTACACTGTTCACACAGGGCCCATCCTGTGTGTCCTGAAGATGGGCCAGATCAGCAGTTCATGTCTACCACTCAGCTGCAGTTCCACAAACAGAGCTCTTTTTTCCTGAAAATTACCCCCTTGCAGGCTCCTCTGGGAAAATGAGTTCCCTCAAACCAACTAGGCATTTCAGAAGTCAAAACCTCAAAAAATAAGCAGGACTGTGCAAATTCCATTAAGGGAAAAATGACTTGTCTATTTAAAGGTTTCTCAAATGTTAGCAGTTGACATTTTGCACTAGGTAAATTTTTTTTTTTTGTATTGGGGATTGAACTCAGGAGTACTCGACCACTGAGCCACATCCCCAGCCCTATTTTTGTATTTTATTTAGAGACAGGGTCTCACTGAGTTGCTTAGCCCCTTGCTGTTGCTGAGGCTGGCTTTGAACTCATGATTCTTCTGCCTCAGGCTTCGAAGCTGCTGAGATTACAGAGGTGCACACCACTGTGCTTGGCCCAGGTAATTCTTTCTTATAGGGTGCTGCCCTGTGTACTGTAAGATGTTTAGCAGCATCCTTGATCTCTGGTTTCTACCCACTAGATGCCAGTAGCATTTCTTCCCAGTTATGACAATCAAAAATGTCTCACCCAGCTGTGTGCAGTGGTGCATGCCTATACTCTGGAGGCCGAGACAGGATTGCAGGTTAAACATCAGCCTCGGCAATTTGAGGCCCTATCTCAAAATAAAAAAATAAAAAGGGTTAGGGATGTAACTCAGTAGTAAACACCCCTGGGTTCAATCCTAGAACAAAACTAAAAAAAAAAAAGTTCAACCCACTATAAGAGACACATGTGACAACAGGCTAAAGAGAGGAGAGATACTAGCAGATACCAAAGTCATCTGAGAAAGAGTCCTGACCTGATGGGTATGGTGGAAAATGCCAGTGATTTAGGAGGCTGAGGCAAGAAAATACAAGTTTAAAAAATTTTTTTGTGTGTGTGAGGACACTGAGAATTGAACCCAGAGGTGCTTTAACACTGAGCTACATCCTCAGCCTGCCCCCTCTATATTTTAAGATAGAGTCTCACTAAATTGTTTAAGGCCTTGATAAATTGCTGAGGCTGGCCTCAAACTTGCAGTCCTTCTGCCTCAACCTCCTGAGCCTGTGGGATTACTGGGCCTGGCAAGAATTGCAAGTTTGAGGTCAGCCTCTGCAATTTAGTGAGACCCTGTCTCAAAATAAAAATAAAAAGAGGCTGGTGATATAGCTCAGTACGAGAGAGCTCCTGGGTTCAATCCCCAGTACTCAAAGAAAAAAAAAAAAAAGAGAGGCCTGACCAGGCATTCAAGAGGTACTAGCTCTGCCACCAACTTCTGATGAACTCTTGGAAAATTCCTGCCCTTCTCTGGGCCTCAGTTTATATATGTCCAGGTTAGTCCATTCTAACATAGCTCTAAGTGATTCTGCCTTCACAAGTAATGTCTATTTTTGTGTGTGCAAGTGGTACTGGAGATTGAACCCAGGAGTGCTTTACTACTGAGCTACATTCCCAGCCCTTTTAATTTTTTAATTTCAAGACAGGGTATCACTATGTTGCCCAGACTGGTCTCAAACTTGTCATCCTCCTGCCTCAATTTCCTGAGTAGCCAGAATTACAGGCATGTGCCACCATGCCTGGAAGTAATATGTATTCTACCTTTTACAATTAGGGCTGAGGTCAGGAGGAAAAAAACTCATTGAAGCAGGAATAATGGCACACACCTGTAATCCTGGCAACTAGGGAGGCTGAGGCAGGAGGATCACAAGTCCAAAGCCAGCTTCAGCAGCATAGCAAGATTCTAAGCAACTTAAGTAAGAACCTGTCTCAAAATAAAAAAAATTAAATAAAAGGGCTGGGGATTAAGCTCAATGGTAAAGTGCCCCTGGGTTAATCCCCAATACTAGAAAAAAAAATAATAACAACAACAACAAAACTGAGCTGACCAACTCAGATTAATATTTCACTTTCCAGTAGCCACTGAAAAGCCACTTATGGAGTCAACTCCCAAGTAAGGGGATATATCATCTTCCTCTTATCATAAGTGCAAAAGCAGGGCCTACCAGGTCACATTCTTCAAATCACCAGTTTCTCCAAGAAGGTTGGAGAGCAAAGTGAGATCCCTTATTTGTGTGAGACATGTGCACAAATATCCCCCCCCTTTCTCTCTCTGTCTCACACGTGCACACACACACATTCTTACCTGTCAGCATAGCGTAAAGTATTTAGAGTGTGTTCAGTGGCCACATGGCTTGGTGAGATGTTAGCAATCATACAAGTTTTGGCATTGCCAATGAAAGAGTCCTTCAGAACCTGTCCAAACCAGAAGGTGGGTTAGTGAATGAAGTCTACTAACAAAAGGCATATTGACTACTTGTGTTCAGGACACTGGGGCAAAAAAGGCAACTCACAAAAGAAGAAATACAAATGATCAAATGCAATAAACAGAAAAAGGTACTAATCTCACCCTTAAGAAATACAAAAGAGCCATTTAAAATATTATATACTTTTACCCATAAAATTAAAAAAGACCGATGAATATCCTGCCCTGGTGCAGATCCAGATAAATGGGTACTCTCCTATTCTCCCATATGCCATGTACCATGACCTGGCACAAGCTTTCCAGAGGGCAGTGCAGCAATATGAAATAAAAGGTAAAAAACATGCACATCAAGGTTTTTATACTGAGGGACTTCTCAGTTGACAAAAAAAGTATACATGGGATATTCATTACAACATTACTTAATAACAATTCTAAAACAACCTGGGAGTTTGTAAGTAGGGAACAAACTAATTACAAATTGAATGCAACAATTACAAATGATTGTGTATATCTGTACTCAGGCACATGAAAAAATAATTAAAATATAAATCCCCTTTTTTTGGGGGTGGGCAGAAATCAAAACTATGGCCTCACACATGCTAGACAAGGGCTTTTGTCACTGAGTCACACACCCAGGTATCTTGAGGCAAAGTCTTGTTAAGTTACCCAGGCTGGCCTAGTTCTTCCAATCCTCCTGCCTCAGCCTCCTAAGTAGTTATAATTAAAGGCATATGCCATCCTAAACTTAAATCTTTGAATAACAAAACATATGATCCTATGCTTATGATTAGATCGACATGCGGAGTTAAGTGCATAGAAATGTTCACTAAAGCTAGTCATGATGGTGCACACCTATAATCCCATTGACTCAGGAGACTGAGGTAGGAGGATCACAAGTTCAAAGCCAGCTTCAACAAAATAGTGAGGCCCTAAGCAACTCGGTGAGACCCTGTCTTGAAATAAAAAATAAAAAGAGCTAGGGATGTGGCTCAATGGTTAAGCACCCCCGGGTTCAATCCCTGGTATGAATAAAAGGGGGGAAATGTTTTAAATGTCACAGTGTGGGAATCAAATTCAGAGAACACCAATTCTGACTAGCATGGAGTTGTATTAAAATAGGTTCTGTCCCACGTCCTATGGTGTTACCAAGATCCTCTCCTACTTGTCTGTCCTCTAATGTGCACCATACATAGTGCTGAAAGGAATCAGGGAAGACATAACTATCTTCACAAATGTTTGTACCTAGGCAGATCTGTCCTCATGTAGCTCTTCTGCAGTTATTATGGATGCTGATTTAATATCCAAACATTTCCATGATAGGAAAAAAAAAACCAAGAAAAAATAATTACCAATATTTCCAACACTTAGAATAAGAATAATCACAATTAATGCTTGTGTAGTTTTGTTTTTATTTTTTCATTGTTTTAAGAATGTATCATTTATTTCATGACACATTGCCTCTGTTTTTACACAATTCTTAGTATTATGCTATAATTTTAATAAAGAGCAAATAAATCTCAATCCAATTTTAAAATAAAGATATACATTAAAAGTATTTATTAATTTGTTTAATACATTATGTTGTCTTTGAACAATGAACTTAATTTTGGTACATAGCACATTTGTGTTTTGTTATTGAAATGAAGAAAGACATACTGCACCTGAAAATCTGCCCTAAGTGATTAAAACCATGACAATGACAGATTTCAATTAGCAAAATCAAAATGTTCTAGAGTTTTTCTGATTATTTATAATAAAAGTGAAACAAGATTAATACTCAACAGGAGAGAATGTTTCTGTTTTTTGAGACAGGGTTTTGCTATGTTGCTATGTTATTCCTGTACTCAACAAATCCTACTGCCTTAGTCTCTTGAGTAGCTGGGATGATAAGCAAATGCTGCCATGCCCAGCTGTCATTTTTTCCTTATTGCCTTTTTTTTTTAGTATTTATTTTTTAGTGTAGTTGGACACAAATACCTTTATTTCACTTATTTATTTTTATGAGGTGCTGAGGATGGAACTCAGGGTCTCGGTGTGAGGCAAGCGCTCTACCGCTGAGCCACAACCCCAGCCCCGCCTATTTCTTAAACTATAAAAACAGCAAGCGGTCAAATCATACATACTCTCATAACATGTAAAGTTACAGTTCCATCTTTACCCCCATTGTTATTCTTGAGATAATCCAATGCTGTTTCTTCTGCATTTTTAAAAATATTTTTCCCTGTGTGATTACACATATAGTAGAAAAATGCTTTAAGATCACACAGGCAATCAGATTATTACACTGTTCTACAGCTTGCTTTTTAACATCATAATAGATCTTGGTTATCTTTCTTATCAGTACATGTAGAAAATCTCAATTTTAAAAACTGTAGCCATTATTTATTTATTTATTTTTGTACTGAAAACACTGGCCTAAATCTTATAGCCAAGAAATTACCAACTATAGCTTATACCACTGTCTTTAAGGGCTCAGAGGCTCCACTAAATGATGAAGTCTTGGACTGGGGTTGTGGCTCAGTGGTAGAGCATTCGTCTGGCATCAGTGAGGCCCTGGATTGGATCCTGAGCACCACATTAAAATAAATAAGTAAAATAAAAGTATTGTGTCCAACTACAACTAAAAATTAAGTATTTTTTTTTAAAAAAAGATAAGTCTCACTGTATTGCCTATTCTAGTCTAATTCATGAGCTCAAGCAAACTTCCTGCCTCAGCTTCCCAAGTAGCTGAACTATAGGCACATGTCACCACACCTAGCAATAGTTTCTTTACTGGAAATAAACACAAAGGTGGTAACCAGAGGGGCATAGCTGCCTCCTGGGGCCCCAGCTGCCCTGTGTTGAAGGTATCTCTGCCTGAGTGAGCCCTCACTAGAGGCTTAGTAGGTTTGAATGTTCCTGGAGGGAATGTAGCACTTCTCTTCTCCCCACTATGTCTAACTTGTGCCTTGCTGGCAGTGGACACTCTTCCGAATGAACACAGGAATGGAAGAAGGAACAATGAATGAACCAGAAAAAACTTGAGGTTCACATTTAACTTTACCTGAGTTAATTTGCTCTGCCTGAAGGGAGTATGGGTGTGTTCCTGGTCCAGTGCTCGGATACATTCCTTCAGCTGCAAAGTAGAAGAATAGCAAGCACATCAAATATCACAAAGTGAGTAACAGATTATTTATTTTTTTATGACGGCGGAATGCATTACAATTCTTATTACACACATAGAGCACATTTTTTTCATTTCTCTGGTTGTATACACAGTATATTCACACCAATTCGTGTCTTCATACCTGTACTTTGGATAATAATGATCATCACAGTCCACCATCATTAATAACAGATTATTTTTCTTAAATAAAAAACACTTAAGACAAGCTGGCCCTAGGGAAGAAACTGTCACTTGTCCCTAGACATGGCCCTTCAGTAAGAAATATTCATTGCACGTTACTGGGGTCAGCATAGACCTGGATTGAGCAAAATGCCCATTAGAAACGGTGGGGAGGGGGCTGGGATTGTGGCTCAGTGGTAGAGTGCTCGCGAGCACGCATGAGGCACTGGATTTGATCCTCAGCACCACATAAATGTAAAATAAAGATACTGTGTCCACCTAAAACTTAAGAATAAACATAAAAAAAAAAAAAAAGAAAAGAAAAGAAATGGTGGGGAGGGGTGGGCTAGGGTTGTGGCTCAGTGGCATGAGGCACTGGGTTCGATCCTCAGCACCACATAATGCAAAATAAAGATAATGTGTCCAGGGCTGGGATTGTGGCTCAGAGGTAGAGCACTTGCCTAGCATGTGTGAGGCACTGGGTTCGATTCTCAGCACCACATATAAGTAAATGAATAAAGTAAAGGTTCATCAATAACTAAAATATATTTAAAAAAAAAGATATTGTGTCCACCTAAAACTTAAAAAAAAAAAAAAAATATATATATATATATATATATAAAAAGAAAGAAAGAAATGGTGGGGAGGGGGCTGGGACTGTGGCTCTGTTGTAGAGCGGTTGCCTACTACATATGAAGCGCTGGGTTCAATCCTCAGCACTACATACAAAAATTAAATAAATAAATAGATAAAGTTATTATGTCCATCCACAACTAAAAATCGTTTTTGTAAATTATTTATTTATTCTAATTTGTTATATATGATAGCAGAATGCAATTCCATTCATATTACACATATAGAGCACAATTTTTCAAGTCTCTGGTTGTACACAAAGTAGTTTCACACCATTCGTGTCTTCATACATGTGTTTAGGGTAATGATGTCCATCTCATCCCACCATCTTTCCTACCCCCATGCCCCCTCTCTTCACCTCCCTCCCCTTTTCCCATGTGTCCTTCTCCGTCCTTAGCAGTGGACATTTGGGTGGTTCCCCTGTTGTGGGTGGTGCTGCAGTGACCATTGAGGGCAGGATCCTTCGTACCCGGACATGACCTGCTCTGGATCTGTCTAAAGTTCCTCCATTCCTCTCATGCGCCCCACCCCATCCCCATTATCAGTCAGCATCTCAAATCAAAGAAAAGATTCGGTCTTTGGTTTTTTGGGATTGGCTTACTTCACTTAGCATAATATTCTCTAACTCCATTTACCTGCAAATACCATGATTTTGTTCTCTTTTAATGCTGAGTAATATTCCATTAATATTAAGTAATATTCCACAGTTTCCCTATCCATTCATCTACTGAAGGGCATGTGGGTTGGTTCCACAATTTAGCTATTGTGAATTGTGCTGCTATAAACATTGATGTGGCTGTGTCCCTGTAGTATGCTATTTTGAAGTCCCTTCAGTATAAACCAAGGAGTGGAATGTCCATTAGAAATGGTGTGGGGGGGGCTGGGACTGTAGCTCTGTGGTAGAGTGCTCGCCTAGTATGTGTGAGGTTCTGGGTTTGATCCTCAGCACCACATACAAAATAAGTTAATTAATTAATTAAAGTTTTTATGTCCATCCACAAAAAAAGTAGTTTTTTAAAAAAGAAATGGTAGGGAGAGTGGGAGAGCAAGATGAGGAAGGAAAGACCTTCTATTTCTGAGTCAAGCATATAGGCTAAAAGGCAATAAATGAGAAAGAGGAAAGAGGAAGAAAGTAATCCCTTGGAAGTATCAGTGAGGGATTCTGCCAAGAGGAGGAAAATTAGCCTCCAGAATTTGCTGTGGCTGTTATTGGCAGCAGTCATAAAGGCCCATCATTGCCTAACCTCTATCCAGGAAGCTGCAGGACATAAAGTATAAGGCAATATCTTTCTGTTTTAAAAATCAATCCAGTATCCCCCAATTTTAGCACTGGATAGATTTTCCTGAAGGAATGAAAAAATAACTAAACCCTGCCTCTTATACCCATCCCTTACATCTTCAAATCCAAGTGGTACAATCAATACCTATGAGAGTCCTTGGATCCTTTTTAGCCCTGCTCAATCAGAATGGAATGGTCAACAAAGTTTACTAAACACTAAGGAACCAAGGGAAATGCCCAGGAAAGAAATAAGGCTACCTTTGTATACCTTACAAAGCACAATATTTTGATACTATTCTAGAAGGTCCAGGCCCCTTTGCATGCTTGTTCCCCATATGAAATAGACAAAGTCAAGTCACAAAGGGCATATGACTTCATAGATATTTCTTTCCATGTTTCATAGTTGATTCCTAGACCATTGTTTAAAATATCAGAATCACATATTTTTTGGTTAGAGGTGGTGGATCCTCAGATAATTCAATCCATCTGAACCTGGGAATCCTAATCTATAAGGTAGGAATAAGAGAATTTGCTTAACTTGCCTTACAGAGTTGTTGGGAAAACTACATTTGACATTTAGCAAATGCTAAAAATATATTGGTTTCTTGGAGAAATGGTTGGTGGCAGGTGAAATTAATGGTACTCACATATTTTATTTAATCACTATATCCAAAATATAACTTTGGCGGGGGTACCAAGAATTGAACTCAGGGGCACCCAACCACTGAGCTACATCCCCAGCCCTATTTTGTATTTTATTTAGAGACAGGGTCTCACTAAGTTGCTTCGCCTCACTGTTGCTGAGGCTGACTCTGAACTTGTAATCCTGTCTAAGCCTCCTGAGCTGCTGGGATTACAGGCATATTCTATCATGCCCAGCTCAAAATATAATTTTGCATGCAATAAACATGCAAAAATATTAGTGAGATTTTTGCATGCTTTTTTTGGTAATAAGTCTTCAAAATCCAGACTAGCCACACTGAACAGCACAGACAGATAGAGATTTAACCACATTATAGGAAATACAGAGGGAAGAATAACATATTAAACATCAGCATGGGGATGCAAGACAAGTGACCGTTTTTTTTTTTAAATACATAGATATAGAAAAAAATAAGAGGGAGGGAGGGAGAAGCAATGTAGGATATTGTTTGCATGTTAATTTGAACAAGTTGACAGTAAAAAGACATTTATGGGAAACCTGCAGAAATTATAATATATACTGAAAAACAGATAACATTAAAGGTATGATGTTGGTATTATGGTTATATTTTTAAAAGTGTCCTATTTTTGAGGTATATAATATTTATAGAAGAAATGACTTGATGACTAGGATTTTCTTTAAAATAATTTGACAAGGGGAAAGTTGGGATTGTTTACTTTTTCAAATGTTGATAACTGTTGAAGCTGGATAACAAGTATATGGAAGATCATTATGGTATTTAATCTACTTTGGTAGATTGAGGAATTAATACAATTTTAAAATTTAGAGAAAAGGAAAAGCTTACTAAGCTAGTAACTTGCAGAAATATTTTTATTCCTACTTGGCAGGGATTGACCAAAAAAGAGAAGGCAGGGAGAGAAGAGTTGTCTAGCATTGCTAAGAGCCCAACTTTTCTCCAGTCCAGGAATTCTTCTGCCAGATGAGAACACACCTGTTGCTCTAATTTCACTCCATTCTCACCCATTCTGGTTGCATGTAAGAGGTAACATCTCTCAAGAAGGATTTTTAGATTTTGAACAACTTACAGCCAGAAGACTCTGGTTTATTTCTGCACCTTCCATCTTTGTCTGTCTATCTGAGTCCCTGGCATCTGCTGCTCTTTCACTGCCAGCCAAGTCAATAAAGGAGATCCTAGAGAAAAGACACACCAAAAATGACTTTGAGGTTTGGGTTTTTTTTAAATTTTTAAAATTTTTTTAAATTTTGATATTAGTTGACATTCTGTAACTTCAGGAAGAAATTAACACTGGCCATCCTCAGGAAAGAAAAAAACATTACTGTCAGCTTTCCAAAAACACGGATCTGTCAGCTGCTATTGGAGCTGTTCACATAAACACTTCTATTGGTTCATTTGTGAGAAAGTATGACTGAAATTGATAAAGTACTCTTCCCATAAGGCTAAGTGACCCTACTACAAATCAGTTTGGTTATCATTAGGTAATTAAATAGAAACTTTTGTAGCTGCTTTCCAGCAAAAAAAAAAAAAAAAGAAGAAGAAGAAGAAGAAGAAGAAAAGGAGGGAAAGAGAAAGAGAGAAAAAAAAAAGACTCATTATTCAGAGGTGAGACAGGCTCATCTATCAGCGTGGCAGAGTGTTTGCTAAGCACCAGAGAAGCAATGAATGTATCCAATTGTCTTATGGCTTTTTCAAGAAGAATGGATTAAGTCCCCCCACCCCCTGACTTCTTTTATGGCTTGTAAGCTTTCTGAGATGCATTCCTTGCTGTTTCTCTGATACTGTGTTTCAAGTCAGAAGCAATCAATGTCCCTTTCAATAACTTAGGATTGACCAACAATAGGTCATTATTTCATGGTCAATCAATTGATGGCATTTTGGAACAATGATTTATTTCAGGGCTAACAACTCTTCTCTGTATCCTCCAAAATGAAGACTTCCATGATGGCATGGTGTCCTGTTGTTGATAACAAATATTTCAAAATCACATTAAGCAAAGGCAGACAATGCAATTCCCTGAATATTTCCAGCTCACCTGCCAAATGTCCTCTTGGCTGAATCTTTGATCTGAATTTGGATGATAGCATGAGAGCGGGAGGAGTCCGCATTAACTCCAGTGGCCCCAGTGCTACGCTCCTTGCTGCCCTTTAAGATCACCTGAAAATAAAACACATAGAATAACTTCCCCAAGGAGCAAACAAGCCCTCTGGCTCCAAAGAGTTGGCAAGTAAGCAGTACAGACCAGACATATAATTTTGTCAGTATGATGCAGTTTTTTCTGTCCAGGTCGAAAGCTGCCCAAACACTAAATCATACAGAGCACGTACCCAATGGCAATGAAAACAATGTGGAATACTGATTTCGTGGGAGAACATTCAATAGCTCAAGAGCTAATTTACTTCTTGATCTCATATGCTCTTTTTAATAGCTTTGATGGATTTAGCCTAACTAAAATCCCCGGGGCATACTTGGCTCCAAAACAAAGTCTCATAATATTCATCTATCTTAGTAACTGAAGGACAGAAATGCATAACAAGGAATGACCAATCATATCTACCTGTTCTGTCAGGATGCAGGCATGAAGCATGCCAGGCCTCATATGTAGGAATAGGGAAGTGATGAGTTATTTTGATTATCATGAGCCCATGACTTCCCTTGAGACCAATCCCCTCACCCCCAATTGGAATAAAGACTAACTGCAATGTGTTTCAAAAAGCCTAACATGTTGAGGTGAACTTTTCTGGCTAAATGCCTATTAGGGTAGGTGTGAAGGAATTTCTGGTTCTAGGTCCAGTTTTTTTCAGTTTCAATAACTGTCTACTATCACCATACCTTTCAGAAACTGTGGAATAGCTGGGTGTGGTGGTGCATACCTATAATTCCCACAGCTTGGAAAGCTGAGACAGGAGGATTGCAAGTTCAAAGCCAGTCTCAGCAATTTAGCAAGACCCTGTCTCAAAATAAAAATTTTAAAAAGGGCTGTGGATGTGGGCTGGGGTTGTGGCTCAGTGGTAGAGTGCTTGCCTAGCATGCATGAGATGCTGGGTTTGATCCTCAGCACTACATAAAAATAAAAAATAAAGATATTGTATCCACCTAAAGCTAAAAAATAAATATTAAAAAAAGGGCTGTGGATGTGTCTCAGTGATTAAGCACCCCTGGGTTCAATCCCCAGTACCAGGAAAAAGAAAGAAAGAAACAAACTGTGGAATAAGGAAGCTAAGAGGAGTAAAAACGAGGTAGTTTGTGAATATCAAACATCATCAAACTTTTGGAAATTACATACAACTGAAGTGTAGAGGTTAAGTGAAATCTAATATTAGACTGTCAGGGTTCACATGCCAGCTCTACTATTTGTGCAAACCACCTGACTTTTCAGGGCATCAGTTTATTATCTATAAAATGAGAATCTTAAATGTTAAGTTATGAGGACTAAAAAAGATAATATATGTAAAGCATTCATTACTACTAAATTGGCACATGGTAATAATAAATGTTAATTAAAAAATATACTAAAGAACATTTTTGTGTAAGTTTCCCTAACTTAAAATGGTTTCTTTCTATAAATGTAAAATACAGCTTTAGAGATCAATGTGAGATGCCACAAGTTCTCCAGTACAAGCTAAACAAAAAGGAAAGGAAGGAAAAGAGGGAGGGAAAGAAGGAAAAAAAAGATAATTTACTTGGGAGAAATAGAAGTCTAGGAACTGAGCAAAATTAACGCAAACACCTTAAAAATCATTAGGCCCACTTTTCCTCTATGTCCTTCTCAAACTCCCCCCTCCCTATCTAAGGTCTACTGGACAAGTTTCAGTATCTAGGTTCTTTAGAATGTTATATGAGTAGTGAAATGGGAACTGCTGCAATAGAAAGTAGAGACAACTATTGAATTCTATGGTGCTGGGAAATATTCAGAGACTTTAGAATAATATATGTGAAAAACAGAGCCACTATCATAGTAATTAAGCACCTCTTGTACATTATCTCAATTCCTTCTATCATCCAACCCAATCATCTGTTATCCATGTTTCAAGCTCAGAAAGATAAAGGATATGCTCAAGGATATATGGCACTGGCACCCAGATCCATCTGGTTATAAGGCTTTAATCACTAAGCTTTCCTATGCAAATACCAAAGAAGGGCTATGCCCTTCTATGTTAACAGAAGCAGTATGAAGACAGGTGCAGTCAGCTGAACTCTAGGGACTTGTGTTGCTTTGGAGGCATGGCCATACTTGTATTTTGCATTCTTCATATGTAATCATATTGCCAAAGACAAACTATTTCATCATTTATTGGAAATAATACTTTCCCCCAGACCTATCATAAAGTTTCTGTGATGTATTGTCTTCAAGTTGCAATAGAAACTACTCACTTGCATCAGTTAAAACACACACACACACATATTAAAAAAAAAAAAAAAAAACAACCCAAACCCAAAACCCTGCAAATCTCTAAATTTAAAAACATGCTCATTGGGGCTGGGGATGTGGCTCAAGCAGTAACGCGCTTGCCTGGCATGCGTGGGATGCTGGGTTCAATCCTCAGCACCACATAAAAATAAAATAAAGATGTTGAGTCCACCGAAAACTAAAAAACAAATATTAAAAAATTCTCTCTCTCTCTCTCTTTAAAAAAAAATGCTCATTATAGGCTGGGATTGTGGCTCAGTGGTAGAGTGCTCGCCTAGCATACGTGAGGCACTGGGTTCAAACCTCAGCACCACATAAAAATGAAATAAAGATATTATGTCCACCTACAACTAAAAAATAAATATTTTTTAAAATGCCCATTAATTGACAGAAAAAAAAAAGATCTTGATTCCAAATTTGGGAACTGTGATGAAGCAGTGAGTCCTCTTTAAAGTCAGGGAAGTCCTGGTCCCTATGTTGGTAAGATTGGGTAATCAAATACACATGAAAGGAGAAATTTTCTAGAGGAAAGATAATCCTATATGAAAAAGGAAGCTGCTGCTGCACAGGCAGGCAACAAGTGGCCATGCCTGAGTGGACCTGAGGAGATCTGAGAGTACCACCTGAAGAAGACACTTCAGCAAACATGTGAACATGTGCGCAATACCTGAGACGTCACAGTGACACCTGAGTCAGCAAGTGTAGTTTCCAGTCAATAAATGTTTTATGAGGGTAACTGTGTCAGATGTTTATAATTTATGTCAACTTTCCATCTTGATCTTTGCTATTTTCTTGCTAATACAATACCCTAAGTATCACAGACTGAGGGTGTCGTTAGTGATAAAATAATAATTTGTTGACTAACAAAGTTTTTTCTGCTTTTCTTAGGAACAATACTTTAGAACAATGTTTTAAACTCTTTCAGGATACAGAGGGTGACTTGAAATACACAGCCCCTTAGCAGCACAATTATGGCCCACAGACAAGGAAAATGGATTTTCTCATAATGTTTGTTCCTGTCCCATTTAATTAGTGTAATCTCAGGGACAAAGAAAGCACGAGGACCAGATTTACCCAAAACTCCTATCAAATGAAGGATTGGCTGGGGAGAAGTAGGAAGAAAACAACCACAGGGAATAAGTGTGGGATAAATAATTTTCTTAGGATTCCATAGTGAAGGGAGCTCCAGACAACTTAAGAAAGCTCTCAGTCTCAAGGAAGCCCCAACAACATGTCCCATACACTTTTGTTCTGTGCCTTCCTCTGCAATCACAAAAAAGGGTCCTTAAAAACCAACCACAATCAGATGCTATCCTCATGTTTTGGATCCTAAGACACAGGAATCTGATAATCACAAAATATGAGGTCTCAGGCCTCAAATAGGTAAGCAAAACTTACCTATTTGTCCCAGGAAAAAGAAGTATACCAATGGTGGGCCAACCTGTCATTTCACTCACCCAAGTCCCAACTCTTAGCTTTGAAAAACCAATAATAAAAATTTCCATAAACCCTGTTATTTGAGGTTAAACAGTCCTTTAAATATCCATTTTTTTAAGCAAATGATCTCAGTATCCTTTTTCCTACTTTTTCTTTTTTTGGGGGGGCAGAGGTACCACTCAGGAGCACTCGATCACTGAGCCATATCCCCAGCCCTATCTGTATTTTATTTAGAGACAGGGTCTCACTGAGTTGCTTAGAACCTTGCTTTTGCTGAGGCTGGCTTTGAACTCATGATCCTCCTCTGCCTTAGCTTCCTGAGCTGCTGGGATTGCAGGTGTGTGCCACCATGCCCAGCTTTCCTACTTCGTTAAGAAGAAAAATTTATCTCTAATCAATAATCTAATGCCACTATAGGTAGTATAGTATAGTGAAAAGGTCTTTAGAGTATGGAAATGGGCTTTAGACTATGATTAATCTGAGTCAGAATTTAGTTCTGTCAGCCACTAGCTATGTGATAGTTGTCAATTTCATTCTCAGTTTTTCTCATCTGTAAGATGAATTTTACAATATTTACCTGATTTTGTGATAATTAAAGGGAATAATATTTGCAAAAATCCTTAGCCAAGTTTTCAGTAGATAGTACCCAAAATGTTTGCAACTATTATTAAAACATAGTGAGAAAGAAAGCAGGAAAGATATAATTAGCCAGAGAGGCTTTAATTTTGGTGCTAATTGAAGGCATTTCTACAATACCAAACCTGTCTGCTTTCCCTGGTTCCTTGGGCTTGGTCAAAGCCTCAGATATTTCTCCCTGGAGTGGCATACTTGAAGCTATACTAAATGTAAGTCTTGTCAGGTCCTTCCCATCCTAGCCATCCCCCCTTACTCGAGCCAGGATTGTTGGATGTACTAGAAGAATGACTATGAGGGTGGTACATTATAACCACCTGAGGAGATTCTAAAATAATACCAATCCTCATATATTGCTGGTGGGAGTGCAAAATGGTACAGTTACTATGGAAATCAGTGTGGCAGTTCCTCAAAAAAGTATGTCCCAGTAATTCCATTCCTAGGCATACACACAATAAAACTGAAAACATGTCCACACAAAAACTTTTGTACATGAATGTTCATAGCAACACTATTCATAATGGCTAAAAGTGGAAATAACTCGAATGTCCATCAATTGATGAATGGATAAATAAAATGTGGCACAGCCATATAATGGGCTATAAATCAGGCATAAAAAGAAATGAAGTCCTAAAAAAAAAAAAAAAGAAAGAAAGAAAGAAAGAAATGAAGTCCTAGATGGGTGCATGCCCATAATCCCAGCAGCTTGGGAAGCTGAGGCAGGAGGATCATGAGTTCAAAAGCCAGCCTCAGCAACTGCAAGGTTCTAAGCAACTCAGTGAGACCCTGTCTCAAAATAAAATACAAAATAGGGCTGGGGATATGGCTTCAGTGGTTGAGTGCCCCTGAGTTCAATCCCTGGTACCAAAACAAACAAACAAACTATATATATATATATATATATATATATATCATGCTATATATATATATCATGCTATATATATATACATGCTATAGCATGGGTGAATCTTGAAAATTTTATACTAAGTGAAAGAAGTTGAGACAAATGGTTGTATGTTATGAGATTCTGTTTATATGACATAGCCAAATTAGCAAATCCACATAGATAAAAATTAGTGGATGCTAGGCACTTGGTAGGAGAAATAGGGAATGACTGCTAACAGACACAGGGTTTCATTTTGAGGTGATAAAAATTTTCTGGAATTAGTGGCAATGATCACACAACTTTATGGATCTACTAAAAAAGTTACTGAATTGCATACTTTAAAAGGGTGGGTATTATGGATCTAAATTATATTTCAATAAAAAAGCTATATTTAAAAGCCTACCAAATTATACAATTAGGTGAATTTTGTGGCATATAAACTATATTTCAGTTTTAAATAATTATCAAACCTGTGCCTGGGCCCCACCACTGAGAGATTCTAATTTTATTGACCTAAGGAAGACTCAAGGAAGCTGAGTCTTCAAATGAAGGCTGGGGATGTAGCTTAGTGGACGAGTGCTTGTCTAGTATACACAAGGTCCTGGGTTCAATAACTAGAACTACATCACCCTGACAATAAATAAATAAATAAAACTAATGAAATAATGAAACTGGAAGACAGGCCACTGAATTAGACCACATGCTTATGACATAAAATAACTGAAAAAAAGACTCAAATCCAAAATACATAATAGGTAAGGAAAAGACCACCTCAACATGAGCAAGACCCAAATTGGCATCCCCAAAAGAGGAAATTCAAATGATAAATTAAAAATATACGGGATAGGGCTGGAGATGTGGCTCAGTAATAGAATACTTGCCTAGCATGCACAAGCACTAGCTGAATTCAATCCCCAGCATAGTGAGAAAAAAAGAGTAGGGGTTCAGTGGTAGAGTACATGCCTAGCATGTGTGAGGCCCTGGGTTCAATCCTTAGCACTTAAGATATTCAATTTCCTTCTTGATCAAAGAAATAAAAATAAATAAATTAAACAAAGGTATTATATTCATCTACAACCAAAAATAAAAAAGTATTGGTGAGCTGAGCAACGTGGCATACACCTGAAATCCCTGTAATTTGGAAGTTTGAGGAAAGAAGATGGCAAATTCAAGACCAGCTTGGGCAACTTAATGAGTTGAGATAAAAAGGCTGGGAATAAGCACAGAAGTAGAGTGCTTGCTTAGCATACACGAGGCTCTGACTTCAATTCCCAATACCAAAAAAAAAAAGAGGAAAGCGTTGGTGAAGTGAAGAGCAATGGGATTGCTCACATACTGCTTGTGGGAATGCACATCTTTTTGTAAAACAGTTGTCATCATTTAGTGAGGCTGAAGATATGCATGTCCTCGGATATAATCATTTTATAACCAGACAACCAAAATAAACGTTAAAGATAAGGACATCCCCAGCTGTGCTGTGCAGAATAACCCCAAAACAGAAACAACCCCACTACCCATTAACAGGAAAATGGATAAATAAATTGAATAAATTGTGGTATTTTCCTATGATGGAATACTACACTATAAATCAGATAAGAAAGAACAGAACTACATCTATATGTAAAAATCATAAATGAAATTCAAAAGCATAATTTTGAACAAAAAAAAGAATATATATAGTGTGGTTCTATTCATACAAATCTCAAAAACAGGTGAAAACTCAAAAAAATGTGAAAACTAAGTTATATAGTTTTAGGAAAGAATACAAAGGTGGTAAAACTATAATAGAACAAGAAAGCAATTAGTGTAAAAGTCAGAACAATTGAGATGTGTGACTAGGAAGTTACACAGGAGATTTTTTTTTAGTACTTTTATTTTTTAGTTGTAGTTGAACACAATACCTTTATTTTACTTATTTATTTTTATGTTGTGCTAAGGATCGAACCCAGGTCCTTGCCCGTGCTAGGCAAGTGCTCCACTGCTGAGCTACATCCAAACCCCCACAGAAGACTTTTGAGGTACTAAAATGATCTATTTCTTGATCTCCATGGCTGATTGCTAGAGTGCTTGCTTCTTTACACTGTTCACACTTAGGTTTCATGCATTTTTCTGAGTAGTGCTATTTTTTTTCCACAATAAAAAAGGTTAAATCATTTTTAAAGTAAGGAAATAATAGTATATAAGTGATCTAATGTAAAGCCAGAGGACCACTGCATTAAAGGAAAGTTCACCAGAAATGTATTTATACATAAGTTAATAAATACCTAGAACAGTGGATATCTCAGGGGGATAGCAAGTCAGTGGTGGGATGGGGTCTAGTTGTATAGAGTAAGTTAAAAGGATCTTTATTTTCTATTTTCTTATGTGTTCCTATAATGTTCAGATTTAATAATAAGCAAGTATTACTTTTGTTATAATAAAAGGATAATTTTTTAATAAAAGGAGTAGATTTTTAAATTCTTAGCTAGGCATGGTGGCATGCAATCCCAGCTACTTGGAAGATTGAGGCCAAAGGATTGCAAATTCAAGGCCAGCCTAGGCAACTTTGTGAGACCCTATCTCACAATGAAAACAAAAAGGGCTGGGGTTGTAGCTTAGTGGAGTAGAATTCTTTCTCAGTATGTGAAAGACTCTGAAAGAAAAAAAAAATCTGTGGTAGGATATTTAAAAACCTAATAAAATTAGTTAAAACCTAATTAATTAGTCTCAGGAAAAGGGAATTAAAAAGATAAGGCAGAAGAATCCATCCAAGTTTGAGGCTAGCTTCAGCAATTTAAGAGAGGCCCTGTATTTAAAAAAAAAAAAAAGAAGAAGAAAGTCTGGGGATGTAGCTCAGTGGCAGAGTGCCCTTTGGGTTCAATTTCCAGGACCTCCCACCCCCAATTTTCTTTTTTTTTTAATAAAAATGTTTGTCTCCAGCAGCATTCCCCAGAGTTCACTGTCACAGAAAAACACAAAAGCAGTCTTTGAAACTGGTGCAGGAGCAACTTTGCCATGAATTAGCTTTTCCTACACGCCCTACCTCCCACTCCATAGCATTGGAACATCAACTCTGTTAAGAAACAAGCCATCCTCTGAGAAGATGACTCACATTTTACAATTTTGAAGTGGTGTGCTTATCATTGTCCTTTGCCTAGATCTGAGAGCGTCTACCTACTAGGTAGCAGAATAAATTCTTTCCTGGACTTATGCTGCTATAGGGGAGTAATAAAGAAGAATTAATTACCTCTAAGAGGACCTCCACACTATCCACCTGGAGCTCCTGCAGTCCCACTATCTGTACCACATGCTTGCTATCTTCTCTTGCGAAGAGCCTGCAGATGCAAAAATATGGTTGGTATGTTGGCGCTGCTTTAACAGACTTTGTTCTTGTCTCCCCAGAAACAATTTTCCCACTCCCCATTAAGTAGCAGTTTTGCCACTTGGGTGGAATAGAAAACTTCTTCTCCCCAGTCCTACCCTCCTGACCTCAGCCTCAGACTTCCATAATCTGTAATCCCACCCTATAATTCCAGCTACTCCAGAGGCTGAGGCAAGAGGACTGCAAATTTGTGACCAGACTAGGCAACTGAGCAAGACCCTGTTTCAAAATAAAAAATTAAAAGGGACTGGGAGGGCTGGGGATGTGGCTCAAGTGGTAGCGTGCTCACCTAGAATGCATGAGGCACTGGGTTTGATTCTCAGCACCATATAATGTAAAATAAAGATACTGTGTCCACCTAAAACTAAAAAATAAATATTTTTTTTTTTAAAAGGGACTGGGAGTGCAGCTCAGTGGTAGAGCACCCTTAGGTTCAAATCCCTAGTTTAAAAAAAAAAAAAAAAAAGAAAGAATAAGCATATAATCCAGACCTATGCCAATCAGTGGATGGTATGGTATATTCCCAGCTATAATGATTGTCGAATGAAAATAAAGACCTGGTCGGGCGTGATGGTGCAAGCCTGTAATCCCCGAGGTTTGGGAGGCTGAGACAGGAGGATCGCGAGTTCAAAGCGAGCCTCAGCAAAAAGCAAAGCGCTAAACAACTCATGGAGACCCTGTCTCTAAATAAGATAGATAGAGTCCTGATCTCTTATTAGGTGCCTGGTGGTGAGGTACTCTGCTTCTCTCTCTAAAAGTGAAAGCATATAGTCTTGGGAGCAGTGGCAGACATTTTTTTTTCTATAAAGAGAACTAGTTTTAAGATGAAGCAAACACCATAGAAGAACAGAGAAGCAAACTTGGTCCTTCTAACATCCCTGAGCTGTTGGAGTAAACTAACCCTGAAGTCTACACATTTCCATGGTAGACAGGAAGAGCTAATGTGAATGCCTCAGACCTGTGAATAAGGTAACAAAAGGTTATGGACTCATGGACTCCATTATCATTAAACCAGATATATCAAGGGCATCAAAGATTCATCAAAGGATATTTTTCCCCTTAATAAGATACCGATTAAGGTGAATAATGGAATTCCACTTTACAGCAAACCCTGTCCCCCATACACACAAAGAAAGAAAGAAAATGACTATCTCAAAAAAAAAAAATTTTTTTTTTTTTTCTGCTGGGTGTGGATTGCCTATAATTCCAGCTACTCTGGGTCTGAGGTAGGAGGATCACAAGTCCAATGCCAGTCTCAGCAATTTAGAAAAATCCTGTCTAAAAAATAAAAAGGCTGGGAATGTAGCTCAGTTGGTAGAATGCTTCTGAATTCAGTCCTTAGTATCACCAAAATTGCAAACTTTTACAGAAGAATTGGACGAAAACAGTCTTGCCAACGCCCATGATCTCTTGGAAAGAAACTACTGAGTAGTCCGCCTTCTGGAATGAAAGAAGGATCTAGTTTTCAGATTCCTCATATATGCTAGACCCAATGTCCTAAGCTAACCCCAGGGAGGTTCTTAGTGGATAATTAAAAATATACTGCTAAATTTTTAAGTCACATAAGCTAGAGTTATATTACTTCACCCTTTATGCAAGGCTCTGAAAACAACATCCTCTACTTTTAGAAATTTGACAATCCTTAATCTTTGTTTTCCAGTTTAAGAATCAGACTTAGCATATAAATCTTGTCAAAGTCCCTGCATTATAAAATATATATATTTTAAAAACAAGATAAAACATAACTATGAAACCAGGAAACAAGACATCAGTAGACCAGAACATTTCAAAAGTCCCATAAGGTAGGAAATAAAAAGATCATATTAAGCCAGACACAGTGGGGCACACCGGTAATCCAGCTACTTGGGAGGCTGAAGTAGGAGGATCACAAGTCTAAGGCCAGCCTTGGCAATGTAGGGAGACACTGCCTCATAAAAAGGGCTGGGGATACAGTACCTCTGGGTCTAATCACCAGTACTGAAAAAAAAATTATATTGTGGGAGACCAACCTCGCAAGTGACTGAGTTACTCCCCGGCTGAGTGTTTTGAGGCATCAGTAGCAGAAAATGCGGCAGGACTTCCCTGCCCTTCTTGGGTTCGAGAACGGTGTCCTTGTAGAGGCATGTCTCTCCACTACCCTAGGGAACCAATCATCTCACCTGACCTTGCAACACTGTCCCCCTTGACCTTCACTGGATGGGATTTTCCCCAGAATTTAGAGTTCCCCAATAAAAGCCCACTCCCAAGCGTGCTTGCTCTCTCTTGCTAGCCTCTCCTGTAGACCCTTGCTTCCCCCAGGGAGCTTGAGGCAGAGAGCACAAGGAGCAGTCCTGGAGCTTGGTTTAAAGGTAAAATTGTGTGTCTGTGTTTTATTTCTAACTCCCTGAGAATTTCCCTGTGTTTACCGTCTGCGCTGGCCACAGACTAAGTTATATTAGCCAATCAACAGAGATATAAAATCAAACAAACAGGGCTGGGGTTGTGGTTCAGTGGTAGAGCACTTGCCTAGCATGTGTGAGGCACTGGGTTCAATTCTCAGCACCCTATATGAATAAATAAAGGTCCATTGACAACTAAAAAATATTTCAAAAAAAAAAAGGGAAAAAATAAAACAAACAAAATTACATATAGCTCAAGACATCTGCAGAGTAATAAGTGTGATTCTTCCCTAGTAAGCCTCACAGAAGCTTCAAACTTGGGAGTTATTATAGTCCCATCCTCCTATCTACAATTAAAGAATGTAAATATACAGGGAAATAATCTGGGCAATTCATTAAATAACTGTATTCAGAAAAAGCTAGATATCCTAATTGGCCTTTTGCCCAAAGAAACACATACATACATAAACACACACACACACACATACACACACACACACACACAGCACAATAGTGACTTTTATTCTCATGCCAACTCTCTTTAAATAAAATGGGCATTCTGACTGGAAAGGACTTTTAATAGGGACATTGGGCTTGGAAGAGAAGCCATGATTGAGCTAATACACAACTTTGACACCAACACAGGTAAAAACGAAAAGCAACTCTGGACCAGCGCATCCCCAGAATAGAACCTTTTTTTGGCAGTTGTGTGCCTGGACAGAATTCTAGATACCTACACATTCTCTCAATTGTGGCATACCCAAAGGCCCCTTTTTTGATGGAGTAGTCCAGAGGACAATAGTCTAAGCCTAATTGCTGGCTTCTTCAGTTGCTCAGTACCCTAGTGGCCCTCTTTGATGAGGGCCTGCCGTATCATGGCCTCCCTATTTGAACAGGAACTGCTTTTCCAAACCTCATTCCACTGCTTGCCTAAAGCACATGAAACTTGAACATCCTATCAGATACCTTTGCTGGGATTCTAGTCTCATGCTGATTAAGTTTTCCTAGTTTTCCACCATGCTCAGCCTCAACTCACTCCTCCCCACATGCATCAGGTCTGGTTCATTCTGTAATGACAATTCATATCCAGTACCTTTTTCTTCTATTTAGGAGGTCATAAAGCTGTCCACAGTAGATTTCATAAAAGCTGATCCACACAAAGAAATGCCTTCTTGGCTGGGACATTTCTAGTTGCCTGAAGATATCTTTGGCTGCCAGAGCATACAGTCCTGGGTTCTGATGAGTTCCTATCATAGTGTAGGTCTTTCCAGCACCTGTTTGTCCATATGCAAAGCAAGTAGCATTGCCTCTGGGAGAAGAATAATTTGAATCATTTATTCATATTAAAAGAAGTGCTAATTTACATATAGATTTTTAATGACAAGTCAGGTATAAACAGAATCCTATAAACATACAATTCTTTAAGGAAAGAAAGGTTTTATATTATGAAAACATAGCAAAAAATTCTCAAACAAATGTGTTGAGTTTTCTTATAGGAATTTTTTGTGGAAGTGATATAATTATGTAAAACAACTATGGAAGATAAGGAAATGAATACTTTAAAAAAAAATCACTTGATGATGTCAGGCATGGTGTTACATGCCTATAATCCAGAAAGAAAGAAAAATCAGTGGTTTGGAGGAATAAAAGTTTGAGGCTAACCTTAGCAACTTAGCGTGGCTCTAAACAACCGAGTGAGGCCTGTCTCAAAATAAAAACACAAAATGGGCTGGGGATGTAGCTTAGTGGTAGAGAACTCCTAAGTTCAATCCCCAGTATAGGGGAAAAAAAAAAATCACTTAGTCAACAAGCATTTCCTCAGTTCCTACCCCATGGTAGGTGCTTTAGATAATCAAAAGAAGATTTCACCTTATAATTTAGAAAGATGTGGAGAAAGACGTAATAGAGAATTAAAACAAACATAATAAGTAATAGAAGATCATATAATAAATAGGATAGTAGTGACTACACTCATATGATAATTAAGGAAGTTTGGACAAAGATAAAATCAATGTAAGCAAAGCATCTGAGGAAAGACTCACAGGAGTAGAAAACTAGACTGGGCCTTGAAAGCAAGCTGAGAAGGCAGAGAGCCACTACTGTGAAATAGGAACAGTATGAGCAGACCACAGTAGTAGCATAGATTTGGTGTGGCAGACATGTCAAATATTGAAGCAAAAAACTTGGGTTTTGGACTTTGCCCTGCCGTTAATTAACTACAGGCTTTAGGAAAGTCACTTTACTTCTCTCTGGGTGTGAATTTTCACTTTCACCAGTAAATTTATGGGTTACCTGGTTTCTAAAAATCCCTTCCAGTCCTGATGTCCTTATGATACTAAGTGGAAAAAAATCACTATTCTTGCATGTGGGTACATGTGTGTGCACACATCCTATATGAGAGTGAATAACTATAGAATAAGAGGTAGAAAAGGGAGTTCAGGAGGCCAGATTGCCAATTATAGTATGTTAAAGGAGGAGCTGGAGGCCAAGATTATCTGAGTATTATGGGACCCAGTTATGCAGTGCTAAGTAGTGACTTAATATAATATTGGTATGAAGAGCTATTACAGACTCTTGAACATAAATCATATGGGTTACTGATAAAAGCAGATGCTTGCAAAAGAAATAAAGTCCATGTATTGAGTAAGAATAAGAGGAAGCTAGAGGTGGGCAAAGAGACAAGTTCCCAGAAAGGCACTTGAAGTCAGGTAGAAAATAAAGAATGAAATGAGAAAAGCAAGGAAACCTTGGTGAGAAACAAGACATGGGAGCTAATCAGATTTAAGCTGTTTCGAACAGAGACCAGTTATTCCTTGTCTTTTGAACCCTGGCTCCCAGAAGCATAGGTAGTTTATTTTTTTATTTATCTTTTTTGGTACTGGGAATTGAACCCAAGGGTGCTTAACTACTGAACCACATCCCCAGTCCTTTTTATTTTTTGAGGCAGGGTCTCACTAAGTTGCTTAGGGCCTTGCTAAGTTGCTGAGGTGGCTTTGAACTCAAGACCCTCCTGCCTCAGCCTCCTGAGTCACTGGGATTACAGGCATGTGCCACCAAGCCTGGCAGCATAGGTAGTTTAAATACACTGGCATGGGACATAGGTACAGTTAGGAAAAGGAATACAGGAGGAAAATCTGAACTTACTCTAGAAGATCCAGCAGAATGAGAGTGAAGAATAGTATCTATCTTCTAAATATTTTAGGGATGATTTTTTTAAAATAACAAATACGGGTAAGAAAATCTTACTACATTTTACATATTGGATGCACTTAATTTGCAACTATATCTTTTATTACTAAAGTCTTGATGTTCAAATTCAAACTTGTTTTAGAAACTTGCTCTCTCAAAAAGCACTCCCTATCTTTAGTGCATAAGAAATTGAACATGAAAGATATTTGTGCTTTATTAGCCTGCTTAGAAAAAAATTTTTAATTAAAAACTCTACAAAATAACAATAAAAAGATAACACAAAAAATGGGCAAATGAAGATATTCAAATGGTCAATATGCACATGAAAAGATGGTCAGTAGTGCTAGGCACTAGAGAAATTCAGATTAGAACCTTGGTAAGATATGATTTCATACCTATAAGATTGACTAAAATAAGAAAGACTGACAATACTGTCATGCAGAAGAAATATCTCCAGAAAGGGTCCCAGGATTTCCTAGAGGAAAGGGGAAATTCAACTCAGGATCAGTGGAGTTATTGGCATTCTTGATGGAAAAGAATTTCAGCAAGAGCCAGACAAAGACATAGACCAAGGATTCTTAGGAGGTAGAGAAACATTCAAGGGAGAATGTGGGCTATCTTGAGAGTAAGATAGTAAAGCAGGTCGATGATAACATAAAAACCTGGAGAGAACATTCTGGGGTGATGGAAATGTTCTATGTCTTGTTCAGGTATGAGTTACTTATGTATATACAGCAATCAAACTCCATCAAACCTGAATACTATATGTGATTTTTATTGTATGCAAATCATAACTTTACTTTTAAGTTATTTTTTTTAAAATAAGGGCTGGGGATGTAGGCCAGTGATAGAGTGCTTGCATGGCATGAGCAAAAACTTGGGTTTGATTCCCCCAGTCCTGCAAAATAAATACATAAATAAAAATTATAAAATTAAAAGTAAAAATTATCCAGAATTAGTGATTCTATCAGGTTATTTGGCATTTTCCTCTAGTACACACCTACATTTCAAATATAAAACAGGCTCCTACTTACTTTTTTTGTCCCATTTAATGTCTGTTCTCCTCCCCCTCATTAATGTTTACTAAGTGTGAATAACAATTTCAAATAAATACATCTATGAGAAGTTGATAAATGATATTTACTTATCTATCCTACTCTGATAAAAAAAATCAACTGAACTGTAGCCAGAATACATAGTTGTTTCTCTATTATCAAAACACTTAAGCCTTTTAATTATGAAGATTTTGATAAAATTAAGTTGTTTACAGATTGTTAAGAGACCATATCATGGGTGTAAAAGGAAATTCTGCTGCAAATTTCTGAATGCGTGGTAAATCCTATAAATTGAGACAGTGTACTCTTCTAGAATCTGAACTCATTAGATCAAAACACAGAATTCATGTTCCAGTCAAAAGAAGTGAAAAGCATAAATGATATTTGTACAGAAATATGACTTATGGAAAATAGAAAACAAAAAGCAAGAGAAGAAAATAATTTTTCTCACCCATTGAAAATATGCTGAATGAGTGGGTAAGTAGTCTTCATGTATACATCTCCATTGGTACATGCCTCACCAAAGACTTCATCAAAATAAAACACATGCTGAAAAATAAATTTGATTTTTTAAAGAAATAGACATTTTCTGTAATTTCTTATTTATTTTTTAGTTGTTGATGGACTTTTATTTTATCTATTTATACACAGTGCTGAGAATCAAACCCAGTGCCTCACACATGCTAAGCAAGCATTCTACCACTGAGCTACAACTCCAGCCCCTGGAATTTCTTAACTACTATTCTAGTTAACACATAATAATGGTCTAAATATATTTTTACATAATAGTAACTGACCATGACAAACTCAAATAAATAAACAATAACTGGTAAATGACAGTGCTTTTTTTTAACTTGAGATCTCTGTAGCCATGTTCTAACAATGTAAAATCTAAGACATACAATTTCTGCTATCACTTAGATAAGTAAATCAATGAATGAAAATGAGTGAGCCAATCAATCCTCTTTAGGTCTGGGAGAGTAATTGAATTCTATAGGGGATTATACTTATAGTCCGGTTAAGGCCAGTATATTTGAAAATTTGGGGAAATTCTAGGGAAGATTTCCATTCTGTAGGTTATAAAACTTAAATTTTAGTTCCATAAACATTTATTGTTCAACTGGTAGAATGCATATTGCAGTAAGCAGATGTAGGAACCCAAAGATATAGACCACCTCCTAAAGATGTTCTTTAACACAAACATACAAATGACTATAAGGCAGCAGAAACTTAAAAGAAAGTATGTGTGGAAGTCAATGGAAAAAGACATGGTCTCTCTGACTGGGAAAGATATTATGAAAAAAGACTGTACTGAGACTATACCATGCAGGGGAAGAGGAATTTGAGAGGTAGAGATGGAGAGAAATTAGGGGAAGTATGAGCAAAGATTCAAAGCAGAGAAGTTGAGGAATTAACTGTTAATCAATTTTTTAAAGAACAGCAAGAATCCAAGGAGTCTGAAAAATAGGACCTTTATAAGGAGGAAAGTAAGACAAGGAAACAGAGTTATGACTATACCATAGAGGTCTTGGAATACTAGCTTTAAAGGAGTTGACAGAATGCTCATATTCCATTCAGTAAATGGGGGAGACAGTAAAAAATGTAACAAAGGAGAATGACAATCTGAGTTATTTCACTGAAAGATTAATTTGGCTTTACAATATGAATGGACTGGGAAAAGGAACTCAAGTAATAATTCAGTGGTGCCAGGTGTGGGGGTATATGCCTGTAATCCCAATGATTTCAGAAGGCTGAGGCAGGAGGTTTGCAAGTTTGAGGCCAGCCTCAGCAATTAGCAAGGCCCTAAGCAACTTAGTGAGACCCTTCTCAAATAAAAAATAAAAAGGGCTGGGTATGTAGCGCTGTGGAAAAGCCTCCCACACCACCCTGAGTTCAGTTCCCAGGACCATAAACAAAACAAATCAAAACAATTCAGTTGTAAGTTAGGAAGGATCTAAATTAGATGATGATAATGGAAATAAGGAGATGAAAACCTGGCAACTGACTAGATATGGGGAGAGAAAGGGTTCTAAGATGGCTTTTGAGTAAAAAAATCATGGTAATTTGGAAAAGGAAAGATGGGAAACCCTGTTACATTGAGTCTGGAAAGCATTAATTCAGCAGCTGTAATTATTTGCATAATTTAGCAGCTTACCATATTAGCAACCCAACTATATCTGAGTTAGAAATGCTAATAAATTCCAGGCTCACTGTAGTATGAGAGTCCATACACAATGAATGAGTGATAAGGCCCTACCTTCTGCTAACTTTTCATATAGCTCTAAATATCCAGTTAAGAAAAAAATTAAATGGGCAGATCCAGAAAACTGGACTTGGGCTATTTAATGTGGGTCACTCTATCCCATTGCTTTGTGTACCATTATATTACATAGAAAGCTTGTTAGATCATTTAAAAGAAACTGGCACCACAAAATCAAGTTTATCAATTAGAAAATAATTCCAAAAGTCAGGTGGTAAGAGAATAATGAATCTGTGAAGAATGATAAAAAGATCTGTGAACTTTTAGTCTTTTGAAAGATGTGATGAGATTTTTAAAATGCTAAGCTGTTAACAACTATTAAAGGGGGGGTAGGTACACAGGGTTCATTATACTTTTGAGTAAGCTTTAAAAGATCAATAATAAATTTAAATATATTTGTAAAATATGGCTTTAATGAACATTATTTATACCTGACTCAATAAAAATCACAACCAAATGTAGGAATACTTTTGTTTCCTTTTATTTCACTGAGAATATGGAAATTCTTCCTCTCCCTCAATAAATGCTCATGAATAACTTTAGCTTTTGATAGAGTACCTAACAAAGTCTTTATTAACAGCATCAATATCTTGCCTTTCATAGGATTTATTTCTCCCCTCCTCTCCCTGCTTTCAAGAGGAGATATGTGTGTGTGATGTGTGTATAAATAGGATTTAAATGTTGGTTTTTCTAATACTTTTGTAAACATTCTTCATAAAAGATGTGTAAATATGAAAGATACTACTGTAGTTAACATAAATATATATATATATATACACACACAATTCATATTGTTTTCTTGTCTTCATTTGTGTTGATATTATAAAAGGTAATCGTTAAATCAGATAGTACAACTACATGTATATGATCATATTTACTAAGCAACAAGATTTGAAAAGATACCATATTTAATTAGATGCACAAACCTTTTGCTTTAATCCCTGAATAAGTTAAAAAATAAAACAAAGAATCTAGAATCGATATTTATTTAGCACTACATTTGTTATAAACCTCCCTTTTCTTCACTCTTTGAGGAAAGAAAAGAGAAAAAAAAAAGTCCTTCCAATATTTTTATATTACAGCATTGACAGGTAAGAACTTTGACCTATGAAAGCAAAGGTCCAAAGTTCAAACAGCAGAGAAAATGCCATAGAAACTAATGGTATTCAATAAATATTGATCAATGGCAATGACAAAGAAGTAAGGTTATTGTGTTTGGGGATAATGGAAAAATACTAAGATAAGATGATGCCTCCCCTTAAGGGAATTACTGTGACTGAAGCATCATTAAGGAAATCTTGGGTAGATGGTAATTGGTTAGAGTTATTACTATGGCTATAAGTAGCTATGGAACTAGATAGCATTACCACAAATTGGTCATTTAGACCATCTTCAAAATAAATACCTCCCACTGAAACCTAATAGACTGTGCATTGATCAGCAATCGATATGGCTGTTAAAGTGATTGGGTTGATTGTACAGTGGCCTGGTAATTTATTGCCCATAGAAAGAATTGGTGGAATAAGCTGAATGTCACTGTAAAACCAATTTTGGTTACCAAAGAAAAAGAAGAACAAAGCAAGTTTGAAAGAAGAAGAGAGTCTTAAAAACTTGACTTCAGTGTTAAGATTTTTCCCAGTAGAAATAAGATCTCAACTGACTAAGGTGAACTGCTAGCACATCAGATTACTCACCACTTTTTTCCCCCTCTCCCAAGTCACTGGGTTTTGAGATAAGAGTGATAAAGGAAGAGAGAATGAAAATAATACAAATGTTTAAGGAGAACTTAACTCTGAATTCCAAAATCTTAACATTTAGCAGATTATCAATTCTCTGTTTTAGATTATTCACAATTGTTTCACAAATTTAAAAGTACCGAAAGTTTGATTTCTTCCATCTGTGGAGTTGGTTGATTCTGTATGAGAATGAAGAGTTACTACAAGGATACCTATTAGCTTGGAATAAGTTCCATTCAATACCAAACTCTCTTCATAATCATTTTAGCAGGGAACATTTTTTATGTGTCTGAGCTAATAGTGCTTTATTTAAACCCTTATGTTAGATTTGAAAACATATTCCTGGATTATATTTATTCATTGCAATCACCCTACATACAGTAGCCTTCTGAGAGATCAATTTCCACCAATTAAGTCTAAGTTCAAGACAGTTGGGAACCAAAATAAGAATTTGGTTGGCAATCTAGTGCCTTGTAATTAAAAAAGATACTGCCCATCATTAAACTCACAATCAGGAGAGTAGATTCACACTGCAAGATGTAGGCAAGAGGGGCTGGGATTATAGCTCAGTGACGGAGCACTTGTCTATCATGTGTGAGGCACTGGGTTTGATCCTTAGCACCACATAAAAATGAAACAAATAAAGGCATGCTGTCCATCTACAACTACAAAAAAAAAAAAAATGCAGGCAAGAATAGAGATCAACTAAGTGACCATCCCATAATCACCCTGGGGCTTATATAAGTTCAGTGACTGGTACTATGCACAATCACTCATTTAAATTCTTTTTACCCTCTCCTATCTCCCTTTTTGCTAAATACATATAATAAAAAGCATGTAAAGTATGTTAAAATATGTATGATGTAGCTCCATTGCACAAGAGTAGAAGAATTACATTTTTGTATACCCTATTACACCATATTTTTAAAAATTGAAGGTCCAAAGTATCAATGATTTAATGAAATATCACACCAAGAACAAATAACACTGAAACAGAACTGGATTTTACAATTTGTATGCATTCCACTCAAACAAAAAGCAGAGAATTGACATACTTGATAATATAAGTTCCAAACACAAAAGGAAAAAAATCATACCTGCAAAATATATTGTGTGAGGTCAAGTGCTTCTTTCTTCTCGTGTACAAGCAGAGTTTCTTTGTCTTCTACAATAATAATATTAATTTCTCCACGACGTACCTCTTTTATACTCAGTGGGCGTTTTCGAACACAGACTCTGATTTTTTCCACCTCAGTCCAAGGATTCTCTTTCTCTAAGGTGTTCTGTCTGATACATGGTTTATAAATATATTTTAATTTTTAATAATAGGATAAGGCTGCTTAAGAGGTAAAAACATCAGTACATTTTGTTGTATACTGGGCATAATATATTTTTTAAATTACAAAGTGTCAAAAATAACAAAATTCTTTTATTAACAATCCTCATTATTTTCATCTCTATCCCTATCCCACCTACTTCTTGCTCCACAAAAACAAACCAAATAAAACCCCTCAAAAAAACCCAAAACCCTAAAAATTATTTTAGCTGGTTTTTAGATGTGGTCTCCTAACAGTTTATGCTATTTTTTAAAATTATTTATTTATTCTAATTTGTTATACAGGATGGCAGAAGGCAATTCATTTATATTACACATATGGAGCACAATTTAAGCCACAATTTTTCAGGATTGTACACCTATGCTCTCTCTTTATGTCCTCACAACTCAGGATGATGAATTCTCAAAATCTAATGCAATATACTGCCATCAATCTGCCAAGGTTTTTACAAAACCCAAACTTATGTTTCTTGCTTCCTTTTAAGCCAATTATTCTTGTGTGTTTACCATTTTCTCGATCACTAATCTAAATTATCTTTTAACCTTACAAGGGTTTACTAAATTCCTTGAAGTAGGTGGTCGATTTCAATGTACTCTTTCTCTGGTTCCTTGTATATATATTCTGCCCTGCTCTATGTTCCATTTTTTAACTTTGTTCTTTTTGTTCCATCCTGATATGGATTTATTCGTTTGTTAGAATTATATATTTCTTCTTCCCAAGACAATTTTATGACTGGTCCTGTCTACCACTAATTCAAACTTTAATTCAAATGCATTCCTTCACTAGCTTCATACTCAACACTCAATATCTGAAGCAATATTCCATGAGTTAGGAATACAAAATTTATCAGGTTCACTTGCTGAGTCTCATCATGGTGCATATTATCTAAGAATATCCACTTACTTGTATAAAAACTAGGTAACAAGAAAATTGTATGTGTGTTTGCAGGTGTGTTTGGTGGTACTGCAGATTTGAACATGCTAGGTGAGTGCTGTACTACTGAGCTATATCCAAGCCCTTTAAAGATTTTTTTTTTTTTTTTAATTTTGAGTCAGGATCTCACTAAGTTGCCCAGGAGGCCTTCCAACTTGTGATCAGGGTTTTTGAAAAAAAATGTTTTTACCAGGTTCAATCCCTTTGGTCCATTTACTAAGAATGCCTTAGCAAGACAAATTATTTGCTCCTTTACACTTTAGAATTTTTTGATAGTCCCTAAAACACCTTTCATAATACATTTTACACAAGATACTAATGCTATGTAATTTTTTCATATCAATTCTGATTTTCTGAACCCTCCAATTGGTTAGAATTTTTTTTTTTTTTTGGCCAGGATCTCAACTGGTGAAACAAAATTGTAAATAAAAATTCTAGCATAATACATAAGACATTACTTTTAAAACTTCTTTTAAAGAATGCTTTGATTTTCAACCAACATATAGGAGAATTTTAAAAAGCATTAATTTGTGCTGAGGACATAGCACAGTGGTAGAGGGTTTGTCTAGCATTTGCAAGGCCCTAGGTTCGATCCCCAGTACTTTTGGGGTAGGATGAGGAGGTGAAACAACTATGATTTTGAGATAAGTATGGGAAATTATTTATTTATTTTGGGTACCAGGAATTGAAGCCAGGGGCCCTTAACCAGTGAGCCACATCCCAAGCCCTTCTTTTATTTTTTATTTTGAGACAGGATCTTACTGAGTTGCTAAGGCTGGCTTTGAACTTGCGATCCTCTTACCTCAGCCTCCAAAGCCACTGGGATTGCAGGCATGTGCCACTGTGCCTGGCTTCAAGTATGGGAAAATCTTGATAATTATTAAAAAACAGATAATAGGCATGTGGGGGATTCATTGTTCTATTCGCTCTTCTTTTGCATATGTTTAATTTTTCACAAGAAAAAATAAAATTTTAACATCATTTTAGCATCATTGAAGATTTTGGGGTCAAAATCTCTAGCTGTTGTTGAGTATTAATAACCTAATCAGATGAAGCTAATCAAAGACTAAAAATGTTTAGCCTTTTTAAAATTGTACAGGAACTCTAGGACAAGTTATGCAGACAAAAGGTCTACGGTTTTAAGTTCAAAGGGCAAAAAGGAATACATTATTCTCCTAAAAGGCACTGGTTTTAAATTCTGATCTTCCTTAGGGGGAGTAAATGATCTATTTGACATGAAAAGAGTTAAGACAGGGGCTGGGGTTATGGCTCAGCAGTAGAGCGCTCGCCTAGCACATGTGAGGTGCTGGGTTCCATCCTCATCACCATGTATAAATAAATAAATAAATAAAATGTATTGTGTCCAACTACAACTAAAAAAAAAAAATATTTAAGAGTTAAGACAACTGAAGTTAGGTATATTCAAGATCTTTTTTTGTTTGTTTGTTTCATTTTGTTTTGGTTTTTATACCAGAGATGGAACCCAGGGCACTTAAACACTGAGACATATCCCAAGCCCTTTTTTAAGTTTTTGAGATAGGATCCAGTAAGTTACTTAGGACCTCGCTAAGTTGCTAAAGCTGGCTTTGAACTTTCTATCCTCCTGTCTCAGCCTCCCAAACTGCTGGAATTAAAGGCATGCACCAGCAGGCTCAGCTCAAGATCTTAAATAAGTCAGTGCAATCGGTTTCCTAAATTTTGTTAGACTTTCACTAAAATTCCAAGCCAGGCAATTTATTTTGAACTTCTGGAATATCTGAAAAGCAAAAACCTGATTTTTTTTTTTTTTTGGGGGGGGGGGGGTACCAGGGATTGAACTCAGGGATACTTGACTACTGAGCCACATCCCCAACCCTATTTTGTATTTTATTTAGAGACAGAGTTTCACTGAGTTGATTAGTGCTTCGCAGTTACTGAGGCTGGCTTTGAACTCGAGATTCTCCTGTCTCAGCCTCCCAAGCCACTGGAATTACAGGGATGTACCACCGCACCCAGCCAAAAACCTGATTTGAGGTAACAAAAGAGAATGCTTTGGATAGGATGACTCCCTATTAGTAAGACTCCCTATTAGTAATAAGGTGGTTTTTCAGTGTGCTAGAATCCTGATTACTATCTAGGGTCTGGGTGAGAAGATAATATTGATGGTTACTGAGGAAATACTTTCTTACCTTCAGTTTTCTAATATAATTCCCATTCACCCTGTCTCCTGAGAATCTATGAGCCCCCCAGATATCCTAATTATATCTAGATTCAGGCCAAGTAGATAGTACTTATTATTTGTCAAATAAATGTAATGGTAATATTTAAACTAAAATATGCATTCTATCTTTGATTGTATTAACTAATGCAAAGTATTATTCTTATTAACAAATAATTTAAATTTAGATTGTTATGTATTATTCAATAAAAGACAAGTTGCTGAGGCTGGTCTCAAACTTGCAATCCTCCTGCTTCGCCTGCCAAGTAGGTGGGATTACAGGCATGTGTCATCACATCTGATACAGCATTTTTTTTTTATTATTTTTAAAGAAAACATGGCTTAAGAAAGAATTTTGTGGGCTGGGACTGTGGCTCAGCGGTAGCGCACTTGCCTGGCATGTGTGAGGCACTCAGTTCGGTTCTCAGCACCATGTATAAATAAATAAAATAAAGATCTATCAACAACTAAGAAAAAAATTTTTTTTAAAAAGATAGAATTTTGTGCTGGGTGCAGTGCTGCATGCTTGTAATCCCAGCAGCTTTGGAGGCTGAGGCAGGGGGATTGCAAGATCAAAGCTAGCCCCAACAAGTTAGTGAGGGCTTAAAGCAATTTAGCGAAAACTTGTCTCTAAATAAAAAATTTATTTTAAAAAGGGCTGAGGATGTGGCTCAGTGGTTAAAGGGTCCCTGCATTCAATCCCTGGTACAAAAAAAAAAAAAAAAAAAAAAAAAAAAAAAATTTTTTTTTTCTTTTATTTAAAAAAATCATTTTTTTTTTTTTAATTTTTTAGGGGTACCAGGGATTGAACTCAGGGAACTGACCACTAAGCCACATCCTCAGCCCTATTTTGTTTTTTATTTAGAGTGAGGGTCTCACTGAGTTAGTGCCTCACTTTTGCTGGGGATGGCTTTGAACTCATGATCTTCCTGCCTCAGCCTCCCAAGCCACTGGGATTATAGGCATGCGCCACCTCACCACATATTATTTTTAAAACAAAACAAGAATATAATTTTTCTAAAGAACACATTTTCTATTATATCATTCTTTTTTAAAAAATATATTTTAGAGTTGATGGACCTTTATTTTATTCACTTATTTATATACAGTGCTGAGAATTGAACCCAGTGCCTCACACATGTGAGGCACGTACTCTACAGCTGAGCCACAACTTCAGCCCCTATATCATTCTTAATATTAGGGATTTCTCAATATTTCACCTCTTAGGGAATGTATTTTAACTTGAAACATTAGGTGAAAATAACATTATTATCTGGACTTAATAACTAATCTCCCCCAAAAGTGTCTTACTCTTTGTAATCACTAAAATTTTCAGAAATGGACCCACATAAAAAGCACTCAAAATCAGGATCACAGACTGAGGATGTAGTTCATTGATAAAAGTGCTTCCTAGCATGGTCAAGGCCCTGGGCTCAAGACCCAGCACTACAAAAAAAAAAAAAAAAATCAGGATATTTCAATGTGTGCAGATGAACTAACTGCTCCAAAGACCTACTTAATTATTTGTTCTTTATTTTTAACTAAGCTATAAGTTTCCTGGTTGGTTTAAGTGAATTTGATACCCTAAAAAAATCTTATGAGTTATATAATGTTTTTCCTATTGAAGAAGGCCAGTTAACTATTTTTACTTTCATAGATGCACTAGACGCATCATGTTATGTTATAATAAATAATGAAAATAGGTCTGCTAGAAGAATAACAACAGATACTGGCAAGAGGTAACTCTTTGATGCACATGAACAATATCTTTCTCCCATCCAGAAAGTTCCAATTCCTCATTAATTTCCCCACATCCAGGTATTTCTATTATTGATGCAAAAGCTGTTCACTTATCACTTTTATGTGACATTCATCTGTTGTTGTAAATAAAAAGTAGCTGCTTTCCTTTGGCCAAGGAGAGACTTTCCCTTGCCTGAGGCTACCTTCCCTTAAAAAAAAAGAAAGGAAAAAGCAAATTATTACCTGATACAAGAACGAGGGATTCCATAGTTATACCCTGAAACATGAGAGACTCTTTGAATAACGGGAATATCACAATTTCCCAGTATTGGAGAAAAGAAATTTGATGAAAAGAGTGAAGTGTTAGTTTCTGTTTGCACATAGGAATCAGCAGTTGTGGCATTCAGAGTTCTTGCTTTTGCGTGGTACTGGTAATCATCTGAGAGCATGTGATCTAGCACTTTTAGGTAAGTGGACTTCTGTTCATTTCCAGAAGAATCTGACATATTGCACATTTCAAACTCATTGTTGCTGGCAGTTCTGTTTTTGTTGTCAGTAGGAGAATCAAAATGTAGTTGTCTGCGAGGGCCAGATCTGAATTCCTGTGGCTTGATGTACACGCTGCTTGTCTGAATAGGATGCTCTGGGCTACTGACTGCTTTATCTTCTTCCTGCATAATCTTAATAATTTTGATAAGCTGGAAAAGACGTTTACGGTCATTCATGTCATGCACTCCCAATTTGGAGTAGTCCTTCATTGTGACCTTGGCTAATTCATCTATTTTCTGAAGGCCAAGGGCAGTAAAATGAGGATAATACTGTGCAAGTTCAGCTTCACAAAGACATTCATATAACCAGGATGCCATTTTTGTGAAGTTTTTTAAATTCTAAAGAGAAAAAGAAAAAAAGTCTTTCACTTAAAATAGAATACATGTAGTACAATTATTCCTTTAAAAAATAAAACTTGAAAAAAAATGAAGAAAAATGTCATATTTTCTCAATTTTATTTATTTATCTACATATTTATTCATTTATTTATTCAGCAGTACTAGGAATTGAACACAAAAGCATTCTACCACTGAGCTACATCCCAGCCCTTTCTATTTTTTGAGATAGTATTCTCACTAAATTGCCCAGGTTGACCTTGAATTTGCAATCCTCCTGCCTCACCCACCTGAGTCACTGGGATTACAGGCATGTACCACTATGCCTGGCTCTTAAATTTTTCATAGATATATATTTCTTCTGAAATTGATTAAACAGCATGGTATAGAAGTAAAGATGTTTTTTATAACATATGAAGACTCTGTAGCAATAGACGTAATTTATCCATCTACTTAATAAAAAGAGACCGTCAATTATCTATTTATTTAAGTATATGGCCATACACATAACCCAAGTCACTTACTTGTTTCTTGGTAGATCCTTCTAACCTTGCGATGTCTACTTAAGACATGTCACAAACTACTGGAAACCTTGTTCTCAACCACTGATTGTAGCAGAACTAATTTTAGACTGTTCTACTTAATGTCAAGGCATGTCGCACAACTGTTTCCCATGATTAATGAACAAAGGCTAAGAACTCTTTCAGAATAGAAGGAAGAATTAAATAGCAGACCATGGAAGATTACATTAATACAACTTAGAGGCAAGTGCATTTGTATCTATTAAGAACTGGCAAAAGTTATTCAGAAATAAAAAACACATTGATTCGGAATCAACTAATTCAGTATTTCAAATCATTCTAAAAGGTTGTCATCAATGTCTATCTGTACAAAATATGAATCAAATCACTACCTAGGAAATTAAAACTACAAGTCAAGATTTTAAATGGTTACACATTAAAATGTTTAAACACTTTAACAACAGATATTTGATTAAATACAAATGATGTGGTAGTAAAATATAATCCTAGTCTACTATTAAAGTCAGGCTCTGAGTAATTTTCTATAGCATTGTTAATCAAATTCAAGTTCATGAGAATATTAAAAAATAAATTTAAAGCATATTTCTTTTTAGTTGTTGATGTACTTTCATTTTTTATTTATTTATATGTGGTGCTGAGGATGGAACCCAGTACCTCACAAATGCTAGGCAAGGGCTCAGCCACTGAGCCACAACCCCAGCCCCAAGTTAAAAGCACTTTTTAAAAAATGGTATTCAATTCATTAAGTAACTGGTAACACTTTTGTTTTCATTTGAATTTATATTTTGTCTCCTCTCTAGGAGAAACAGAGTTGAGGGCAGGGTAATAAATGTAATCAAAGAAGCTCAAATAACTCTGGAGGAAGTACTACTTAAGCTAAAGAAAAGGCTAAATGGAGGATTGGGGATTTAGCTCAGTGGCAGAACACATGCACTGAGTTCCATCCTGGGCCCTGAAAAAAAAAAAAAAAGGCTAAATGGACTAGGAAAAAAAAAAATTCCTTCCACCAAGAGGTGGAGACTATTTGTCCTTTCATTGCATCTAGGCTAGCCAACTTGTTTTGGCCAATAGAATATTATGGAAACAACATTGTGTGACTTCCATGTCCACATATCAAGAGTCCTTGTAGTTTTTACTGCTCTCTTAGAATTTTTCTCCTGCTACGTGAAAAAGTCCGGCCAACAGCCATCACCAAAGCTCGATATACAGGAGAAACCATCTTGATTATCCAGCTCCAGTGGTGCCACTAGATGACTACAGTCACAGTAGAGACCCCAGATGAGATAAGGTGAAGAACTACCTAAGCCCAGCCCAAAAAATCTGACTCAAAGAGCTGTGAGCAAATAAAATGGTAATTGTTTTAAGCCCCTAAATTTTAGGGTAGGTTGTTACATTGCAGTAGATAATTAACAATACCACTTAGAGTTTTTTTTTTTTTTTTTGGGGGGGGGGGGGGGGGGGGGGGGGGGGGGGGGGGTATCAAGGACTGAACTCAGGGGCACTTAATCACAGAGCCACATCCCCAGACTTTTTTTTTATTTTAAGGCAGGGTCTCACTTAAGTTGCTTAGAACTTCGATAAGTTGCTAAGGCTGGTTTTGAACTTGCAATCCTCCTGCTTCAGCCTCCGAGCTGCTGGGATTATAGGCATGTACCATTTTTAAAAATTTTATTATATTTTACTTACTAGAAAAATTTTAGGCTCACAGCAAAACCGGGTGTAAGATACAGAGATTTCTTAAATATATGCTGCCCCACATGTGTAGCTTAACTACAGTGACACATGATCGTCACATGATCACCAAAGTCTCATTTTACATTAGCGTTGTATAGTCTATGAATTTGATAAATGTATAATGACATGTATCTACTATCTGAGTAAAATACTAAATAGTTTCAGTGCCCTAAAAATCCTGTGTTCTGACTATTCATCCTGAAGGATATGAAAAATAACTTCCCCCAGAAAAGGAAAATGACAGCCCCCAGGGAGAAAAGGAGGACAGTGTGATCTGGGGAGTGGTGGAGGGAGGAAGGAAAGCAAACATTATGCCCTGGGCTATAGGCTTTCATCCTTTCCCAAGGACTGTAGGTCTGGGGGAGAAAAAAAGGTAAACAAATGGGCTCTGGATTTTTATCCCAGTTTAACAATGAGTTTCAAGCTTTTAAAACTGTTTCTCTGAGTCAGAATGAGTTTCCAGCTTTTACAACTGTTTTCCTGAGTTAGATTTTTAACCTGCACAACTAGTTTCCTGACTGCCCAGCCAGCATGTCCCAAGTCTCTAATGATTAAGTCACACTAAATATTCTGCTATGATTAATTCTCATTAAGACCTATAAAAACAGACCCCTTTTGTAACCAGTCACCATTTTCTCCTCTGAAATGTGCCACGTGCCATTCCACTGTTCCCTAATAAAGACAGCTTGCTGATCAGTGAGGTCTGCTCCTGTTTTTGGTTATTTTTGCTTACACATCCTTCCTGCCTCTCAATCCCCTGGCAACCACTGATTTTTTTAATGCCTCCATAGTGCCTTTTCCAGAATGTCAAATAGTAGGAATGATAAAGTATGTAGCCTATTGGACTGGCTTCTTTCACTTAATAATATTGAAGTGGCACCCCCTTTCATCACAGAAAAATCTTAACTGGGCTTCTCTAGAAATCTTCACCTTGGCTAATTTTGGGACTGTCAGCAAAAGAGTCTCTGCAAAAGAGTTCAATATAGATAAACTTCCTATTTTTGTGTCTCCCTGTTTTACTTGGCCACTGCCGATACTAGCACTCCAGGTGCTGGACACCCCCTTACTAGTTTTTCACAAAATAACCAGTATAGTAGTTTGTAAAAATGTACAAACAAGACCTCTGGCCTTGAGCTGGGGCTTCCCACAGATGTCTACATTTTTAGATAAGTTACTAACTGGGCTCCATGGTAACAACTGGCAGGAGAAGGAAAGAAAGAGAAGAAGCTCTCCCTTTCTCAGGTGTTATCCTTGAAGGGTTAACTTGCCCAAAACAGTGAAAGAAAAAGCTGCTTTTATGTAAACTTCTGCAGACTATGAATTTCTGAGCCCCTCCCCTTACATTCATGCTGGGTATAAAACTCTGAAACTACCTGAACTCGATTGATTGATTACAGCAAAAGCTGTGCCCTCTGAACCTGGCTGCAGTTAAATAAAACTGTTTCCTGCTTTCTTTGTTTGTCCCTACAACAATATGAATTTAAGTTTCCTCCAAGTCTTTTCATGGCTTGATAGCTTATTTCTTTTTTACTGCTTAAAAACATTCCATTGTCTGAATGTACTAGTTTTATTTACCCATTCACCTATGGAAGGACACCTTAGATGCTTTCAAGTTCCAGCAATTATGAATAAAGCTTCTATAAACATCTGTATAAGTTTTTGTATAGACATAAATTTCAACTCCTTTGAGTTAATATCAAGGCAAATGATTGATGGTTCACATGGAAAAAGTATGCTTAGTTTTACAAGAATCACCAAACTGTCTTCTACAGGAGCTGTGCAATTTTGCATTCCCACCAATGAGAATTTCTGTTATTTCACATTGCTGTCAGCATTTGGTGTGGTCAGTGTTCTGAATTTGGATCATTTTGATTAGGTGTAAAGTGGTATTTCATTGTCTTCAAGTGCTTTTTCATTTTATTTTTGTGGTGCTGAGAATAAAACCCAGGGCACCTCACCCATGTTGGGCAAGTGCTCTACCACTGAGCTACACCCCCAGTCCCTCCAATGTCTTTTAAAATGCTGGTACCTTTGTCTGAAATGTTCCCCACTCTTTCTTTTGCCTACTGAAGTAAGTTATGCCTATCCTTTCAAGATAGCTCAAGAGCTTTCCCCCCAACATGAAGCTTTCTTTCATCTCTAAGCCTCTTCTACTATTTTACTCCCAACACCCTATGCAGTGCTAAACCAGGTCACTAATCCTTTTACTACTATTTCTTCTACCTAGAATACTGGTCTTTTCCAGGTAAAACACTATTCTTATTTTTTTTCAACTGGGGAGGTGGGCCCTAGCAAGGAATAAATTTCAGTAATGATAATAGCAACTAGTATTTATTGAGCATTTAATACACACCAGGCACAGTTTTAAGCATTTGTATTTGTTAACCTCCAAACAATCCTATAAAGGAGGTTAAGTGTGTGACCTTTCATGAGTTACCTACTTAGCATTCTCTCCTCTCTCTTCTTGGTGATACTGGGATTGAATGCAGGGGTACTCTACCACAGAGCTTCCTCCCCAGCCCTTTTTATTTTTTGAAACAGGGTCTTGAACTTGAGGTTGTGAAGGTTGTGAACAACTTCAGCTTTCAGAACAGCTGGTATTATAGGCATGCACCATCATGCCTGGCTTTATTTAATATCTCTGAAACTCATGTTTCCCACTGTAAAATGGAAATGCAAGAGACCACACAGTTCTCAGGGTTAGGATTCAAGGAGAAAATACTTG